TATTCTCCATCTTTGAACTTGTAACATAAATTCCACCATTATATGAATAATTACATGCAGTAATGGGACCAGAATGTTGATCACTAGGATTAGGTCCAACATAACCCTGACAGGTATTGATATCGTATAAACGAACAGTTGGATGTTGTGTTCCAACAAGTAAAAAGTTTCCCGATGGATGGAATGACATACAACGTAATACTGATGCTTCATTGATTGTTTTAAGAGCTCGTTTTACTGCTGGTTTAGCAAAATCGTAAATTTTGATAGTTAAATCTTGAGATCCAGAAATGAGTAATTGTTCCGTTGGATGAAAAAGTAGACATGTAACTTCCTCTAAATGATCATATAATGTTCTTATAACAGGATGATGAGCTTCTGGTGTTTGATTAGATTGTGGATCTTCTGATACAGTTCCAATACTTTTTGCAATCATCTTTTCAACATCTAATATTTTGATAGAAGCATCTTGAGATCCAGTAGCCACTAATGAACCATCAATATTAAATGCACCAGCTCGACAAGGACCTAAACATAGATGAATTTCAATGTAAATTTAATCTATAAATCTTACTAAATGTAAATGTATATAAATGTATTATAAATGTATTATAAAAGCAAAAATTATTTATCATTGTAATATATTACCTTTATGAGCAGTTACATAAACAGTTTCATAAGTGCTTGGTTCAGGAGCTGAACAATGAGATTCTGTGTCAAAATCTAAATCAATTCCAGATATTGGTGGGGCTAATAATGATTCTTGTTCTTTATTTTCTCCTTCAGTTTTTAAACCTAATCCAACCAGATGAGCAAGTCGGTCTGATGGTGGTGATGCCAAATGATTCAGATTTAGTTGTATAGCTCCAGACAACTGATGAGCAATTGATTGGTATCCATCATAAAATAGTTGACTATTAAAAGGTGAGATTGATAGTAAATTATACAAATTTATCATTAGTAAATCATTGCATTAATATTAATATAATGTATATTGTATAGATATTGTCATACATGTAGATCCATTGCCATACCGGCAACCCGGCTTTTCATTTTGGCTCGCTTTCTCATCATATGTTAACACTTTTACAAAAGCTTGAATTGAGTGGAAAAATATAAAAAAACAGCGATTTTTACCTGATCATTAATTTATATAAAGTATCTCGTTCCTTGATTGTTGTCGATTGTTCAGATTGATGTTGAGACATTTCCAATATTTAAATATACTTTCAAAAACACAATTATCAATGAGCTATTTATTATTAATTTGAACAATTTCTATTTGTTTATATTGATGATTTGCTTTCAACACACTGTTTTTTTTGCAGCTTAAAAGAGGAAAATAGTCTGTAAAGATGTTGACTCTGTATCCATGGATCTATCCTGAAGTGTCTTTACATACCAAATAGTAAAGAGTTCAATATAATTTTAAACTGATTAATTATAGTTTTCTTATTGAAATTTATTTAATAGATTTATGCGATTAGAAAGATCATCTTGTATTAAAGAGAACAAAAAAAAGCACTAACACACAATAAAGGTTACTTGGAAAGCTTAAAAATCGCTTGTTATATTTAAACTCTCTGTTTATCTATGAATAGGAAAGTCATAAGGATAAGGCCTAAAGATATCCTTGTATTTCATGCTATTAGCAATAATAGTAGAAACAACAAGTATGAACAATATTTAACGATAATATTGAATTAAAATATTGAACTGAAATGAGATAAGTAAAGTTTAAATATAGATATTTATATTGTAAATTCATAGCTTTATTATTTCAACAGATTGTTACAATTGAAGTGTTGTAACCTTTATTTTTAACCGTCACATAGAAAAGGGCAGAAAATATTTCCGTTGAGAAGTTTGAAAAACTTGTATTAGTACCAACAATTGGCTAGTTTAAGGTTAGGTAGTTAGTTTGTTTGGCATTGGGGTCATTGAGAAGAGGAGAGAAGGGAAGATATACATACACAAAGGCATAGAAATGGCTGCCATAGAAAAGGAAAGGAAAGATGATGATGTGAAGATTTAAGGGAAGAGAGAAGAACGATATTTCATATTCGCCTTTCTTTTACTCTCTCTCCTCTTTACCTTGCGGGCTAAGTTGGCAGTTGGCGGGAAAATTTATCCTTAATTACATCCTCAATGTATTTCCTTTGATGGGAAAATACTAATTAGCAATTGTCGATAACATAGAAATTGTAGTTTCATTGTTTTAACGCTGTCTCAATTTATCTTTTTGCTTATTTCAAGTCACAATTAGTGACTGAATTTTTGATGGCAGTCAATGTACTTGAAGCTAAGTCACAATCAAAAGATTTTCGATTAAATACAAGGCCTCTATTCAAGTTTTATCCTGGCTCAGAGGATAAGCAAGATTTTTCCATATTGAAATACTTCTATTTAGACGCGACAGTTGAGATTTTACTCTTAATATTGACAGTCTTAGTATTCAAAATGCTTCTCGACTTGTTTCAGCTAAAATTCATTATTTCAAGTCTTCTATGCTTAGAAGCGCAACTGCAAATAGCAAAATATTTTGAGTCTCTTCTCAGATTTTTGTTAATTTAAAGAAGGGATAATTAAGAGACAGAAGGTCGTGATAATTAAACTCGATGAAATAAACCCAAATTCGCTTTAATTGAATTAAATGAATCAACAGATTGGAGATGAGTAAAGTATTATTATGATCAAAATAATAATATTGAAATTGAGAAATTGATAGAGGAATTGTCTTGTGTATGGATCTGTGTATGAGTGAAATTTCCTCAGAAAGTGAAGGTTGGGCGGTTTTATATTTGTTTTTGTATTAGAGTAAAATGTAACTTAAAGTGATTTTGATTGATAAAAATGAAGTAAACGATTGAGATACGATATTGGGAAAAGACAAAATTGTGATAATAATTCGACGACGGGGAGTGGTTGAGAGAGAGAACGAGAAAAAGAAAGAGAGAAAAAGGGTCAGACAATCTTGAAGGCGTAAGGAAAATGGATTAGAAATCTAAGGTCTTGAGATTTACTCATTTTTGAATGTTTTGAATCCTAATTGTTGGATTGATAAAGTCGACTAAGAATTTACCATCTGCTAATTTATTTTTTTAATTGACTTGGGTTCAATTAAGCATTTCATTTTTTGTCAACTTCCAAAGTCTTCGATGAATAAGTGGCGACGAATCTGGAGGGATGAAATTAAATGGAAAGTTGATTGTTACATTTTCAACTCTTTCTTTTTTCTTTCTCTCTCAATCAACGATTATGGTGTTGATCATCGTGTTAAATCATAATGATTCTATTACTGCAAAATACAGATTTCAATTTTTGTGTTTAAAATGAATGTTTAATCATCATCGTCATCGTCATCGTCTTCTTCTTCTTCTTCCTCCTCTTCCTCATCTTCATCATCAGAATCGGCTTTCTTAGAGCTTTTAGCTGATCCTTTAGGTTTTTTGTTCTTGTAAGCATTAGATTCCTGGAAATACAAGAATTAATATAATCAGAAAATAGAGAAAATAATATGATAAAATTAGTTACAAGATATTAAGACTAGAAAAAAAACACAATAAAATTCAAACAATAAAATGAATGCACAAGTATAGATCATGATTACTAATAAGCAGTATGATTCATAAGATTAAAACACAAAAATACTGACCTTTTCATATCTAGCTTTGTCTTTAGCAGCAAGAGCTTCGTATTTAGATTTGTCCTTTTCACTGATATTACCCCATCGCCGACCAAGTTCTTTGGCAACTTCCCCTACACTAGACTCTGGCATAGTCTCCTTTACCTTTGACCTCTCGTCATTACAGAACCAGAAAAATGCAGAAAGTGCCCTTTTAGGTGCATTAGGATCCTTTGCCCGTTTCCTCTTTTTACCGCCTTTCTCATTTTTAGAAGGCTTGTAGTCAGCCATTTCTGTATCATACCGTTTCTTGTCTTTTTCAGCCATTGTATGGAAACGTTGCTTCTCTTTCTCATTCATGGTCTAAAATAGGTAAATAGATAAAGAAAGACAGAGAAAATTATCAACTACATCCTAAAAAAGGTTTTCTAATAAATAGAAAATTAAAATTTTTTTAAATAAATGCTAAAAAAAGATAACGAAACCAGAAAAGTTGAAAAAAATGAATACATTTTGTATGGGAAAAAAGAGTAGAGAAGTGCAAAGATACATAAAGGTACAATAGAAAAAAGAAAATGTCTCTTACCTTCCATCTTTCAGCACATTTCTTTGAGAACTCAGCAAATACCACATTCTCTGAAGGATGTTTCTTTTTATGTTCTTCACGACATGTTTGAACAAAATAAGCATAAGCAGACATACGTCCTTTTGGCTTTGAATCACCACCTTTACCCATTTTGATAACTTTTTAGATAAATTCAATTAAGTTTCACTTACAACACAAAATAAAACCAAAGAGTAAGATGGAGAAGTATATGTATAAGAGCTGTAGAGACAACCAATAGGATTTAATGCTATTGGTTAAAGCCAGAAAAGCAACCAGTTTTTGAGCTCCATAGTAACTCATACCCGGTTTTTTCACTTTTTCAAATTTCTCAGCCGTTTAACAAGGCGCCATCTAGTTTTTTGAATTATCACAAATTTCTTGATTACTGATCACTGATCATTCAACAGCAACAATTAGTTTCACACAACATGGACAATTAATGTTTTTAATTTATTGATAAAATTTTGGTTCAATGTTTTCCCAATTTTAAAACCATCTAAAAACTATTAAAAATATAATAAATTAAATGATATAATTTTACTAATTAAAGAACCTTATTTCATCATCAGTTTTCAAAACATTTTTCATTGACATCTTGATTTTAATTGTTTAGTTAAATACCAATAATGTTTGAAACTTTCACAACAAAACCTTTTTACAATTTTGTAGTTCAATTGTTCAACAATTATTACAATCTTTAAACCTTTTGAACACAATAATGGGAAACAATTGTCAAAGACTCCTACCCATAACAATATCGATCTTCAAATCATTATTGAAAAAGAGTTAATTAAACATTGAATTTGAAGCATTCATTTGTTAGTTTTAATTTGTGTGTTTCATCATTGGAAATATATTTTGACTTGTCATTGGAAAAGATTAATTGTTTGTTTTGATTAGCGATGGCTAAAGCAAAATCAAGGTCTAAAAGAGCCGCTGGAAGTAAAGTTAAACGTCGTAAGCGACGAGGAAGCCGAGTTCATCATAAAGTCAAGAAAGACCCAAACGCACCTAAAAGACCTTTATCTGCCTTCTTCTGGTTCAGTAAAGAGTTTCGCTCTAAAATTAAGTCCGAAATATCTGATGGTGGGGTTACTGAAGTAGCCAAAGAGCTTGGTAAACGTTGGGCCAAAATGGATGAAAAAGCCAAAGCTAAATACGTTAGCCTTGCGGATAAAGATAAAGAGCGATATGAAAGAGTAAGTTCTGAGTTTTTCTTCCATTTCCATGATAACAAAATCTAATCTATTTTTTGACTTGAATCATTAACAGGAATCTGCTGGTTACAAAGGAAAGAAATCTAAAGTAATGAAGTCGAAATCAAAAATGCGAAAACCCTCCAAAAAGATGGAATCAGAACACGAATGACCGTCAATTCTGGAATCAATGAAAGAGAAATATTTTGTCACAGATATTTACTCATGAGAAATTAAAGAAATTTGATTAAAATCTTTGATTGTGTTCCCTTTTCTTCCAAAATGAATGTAAGTGCGACATTTATACAAGAGGAAATTTATTTTGGCAGAACAGTAATTTGATACAATAGCAAGTTACGTTTGCTGGTAATTAAGGCGATATTTAGCATGATAAATAAAAACCATGATTGAACAACTCAATAAGATGAATGGTACAAAGAGATGAAAATTAAGATAAATTATTTTACAATGGAGAAGAAGTCCGAGTCTATTTCAGATCCCCTTTTACAAAGACCCTGTTATTGTCTGATATTACATTATTGTCAACTATTGTTACCGATTATTTTTTAGTGAATTTGCAATTTACATGATTAATATGAAAATTATCTGAATAGTTTTGGTTGGAAGTTTGATCTAAATTAAATTTTGTGTTCCACTAACCAAGTCTATTGATGAAAATTGAAGTTGTATAGATATAAGGCATCAGGTTTGCTTTTTGGCACCAAAGTCTATGTAAAACAAACGGGGATTTGACAAATAAGCACAACACTGGATAAATACATTGATATATTTATATATGAACCTATTTATATTTTTATATTTATAAAAGGTGAATACAATATGCAACAATGAAAGTTGATTTGAGTTGCTTCTGAATTTAGATTGGATGGCTTTTGAAGTATTTTGGCGATGAGTGGTGAATTGATGAAGGCGAAAAAAATTGATGAGATGAAATGAAATACAAAAAATAATACAAAATGATCACAGTTGGACGGAACAATTGATCCCAGGTGATGAGTGAGTTAATGATGGTCATGAATAATGGTAATGATTAAGATGAGCAATTTAGAAAAGGAAATGGTTGAAAATAGTTATGACGATGGCTTGACTTGGTTTCTTTTTTCTTTCCCCTTTTAAATAATCAAGATTTGGTGAAAAAAGAAGCAATTTGTAACATTAATTGAGTCTAGTGGCTATTAAGATAAAATTTAGCGTTTGTTTTTGGAAAAATAACTTCGATTCATGCGGAGTAAAAGAGGCGATTGTGGTGAACAATTTTGTGGGTTACATCTCATTACACCATCAACTTCACATTTACATTCCATACATGGACCACTTGCGGGTTTGATTACTTGTCCTAATGGGTACATTGAGCCATTCACTTCGCAACCTGATAGAAAATCAAAAAAATTGTTATTAATTATTTAAATAAAACAAAGGAAAATGCAGAAAACTTACCTTTTACTTGAGTGGTTGTCCTTAAGAAAGGTAAAGGTGTTGTTGAAGTTACATTGACAGTTGATATATGAACAGCTGAAAGGGACAAGAATGATATAATTAGTAAATCAATTTATATTTAAAGCAGGATTGGAAGGATGTAAAGATACTTACGACACTCATAACGTGGACAACAGAATCCCTCAATTGTTGTTTCATAACAATTTGGTATTGGAGGTGGGCAAGTTTGTTGTAGACAGATAATGTCTCCTCGGAAGCAGAAGCAAAAATCACATGGATGTGGTCTTGGAATTTGTTCAGCTGATTGATAAATTTTACCATTAAATACACAGGCTAATGAGGAAGAAACAGAAATGCGTTAGAATTAGATTTTTATAAAAATTCCAATCGATGTAAACAGGATGGGAAGGTAATAATCAATTTTAATCTATTAATGATAATCAAATAGTTACTTACATGAATCCTCAATTCCATCAGCCTGGCTGGTTAAATTATCTTGTCGAGTTGCTGGTGGCTCGGTGACTGTTGGTGTAGCTATTGTCGTTGATAGAGTTGACTTTTCTGTACTTTGAATCGAAATTGTTGCTGAGCTGTCAAACAGACTTGTATCTTTGGTAATATTGTATCTATCTTGTGAAGTTGCGTGAGTACTGACTGTTGACAATTCAATTTTGCCTTCCACTTCTTCTCGTGATTTGGCGATTGGTGTTGTAGAATAGTTAATTGGATCGACTAATTTTGTTGTAATTGGAAGCTCGGTTGAACTTTTATCTTGTTTTGTTGAACCAAATTGAGTTGTGGGCACTGTACTAGTGGAAATGCTGCTTGACGAGCGAGAATCTGAAGTTGAAGTGATTGTAGGTGTACCAGTAATTGAAGCATTTACAATATGATCAATATCATCTATGGCCCCAGCAGTATAGGTAGTCAACCATTCAGAGGTTAATGTTTCATTGGAGCGGTGAAGGCTCTCACCAAACGGTATTGGTGTTCGAGTAACATTAGTTACCATTGCTGAAGTAGCCATGGTTGTCACTTCAGCTTTATCCATTCGAATTCCCGTTGAAATTATGAATGGCACATCAGAACTGACTTCACTTGAAAATGTAGTCGTCTGAGTTGAAAGAGGAAGATGAACTATTTCGAAAGTTGATGACTCACGTGGAATATCAGTGACTAGAGACTCTTGAGTTGATGAAGAAGTAGTTGTATGTATTTTAACGTCTGAAACATTATATTTAATTGACTCTGGAGTTACAGCTAGGATTGATGCTGTGGGCCTGAAATATGTTGTCGCAAAGGTTGTGTAAGAAGTTTCATTGAACTCAGTGCTAGAGAACGTGATTGGAGTTGTGACTGTGTCCACAGCGACAGAGCCTTCTCTGAATGTTGATTCGTGGGATTCATCTGGTGAAGTTAAATTAAATGTTGCTTTGCTTGTCGTGGAAGAGGTTGGTATTGATCTTGTAGTAGTTGCAATTGATTCGTACTCTCCTGATCTTGTAGTTGGTTGATCAATTTCTTGTGGTGAAGTTTCTTGAATTGATTTTTCCGTTGTAGATACTTCACTTACTGCATCTTTAGATTCTGGTCTTGTGGTTGTTGTAACATATGATGAAGATGTTGATGATTCTGTAGATTTACTCGTAGTTCTGATTGTAGTTTGTTTAACTGGATATGCTGTCGTAACATCTTCGATATCTGCAACACTTGATGTTGTAGTAGACGGCAATCTTGTAGATGAACTTTGCCTTACGTCTACCTTATCCTCATCCTCTAACTTAGTTGTCATTCCACTTGAAATTGTTGTGGTTTCACTTACATCATCTGCTGATGTTAAATTAAATGTTGCTTTACTCGTCGTGGATAAGGTTGAACTTGACCTTGTAGTTGTCGCAATTGATTCGTACTCTTCTGATCTTGTGGTTGCTTGATCAATTTCTTGAGGTGAAGTTTCTTGGACTGATTTTTCCGTTGTAGACCCTTCCATTGCTGCATCTTTAGCTTCTGGTCTTGTGGTTGTTGTAACATATGATGAAGATGTCGCTGATGATTCTGTAGATTTACCTGTAGGTCTGATTGTAAATTGATCAACTGAATATTCTGTTGTAACATCTTGAATATCTGAAACATCTATACTACTTGATCTTGTAGTAGACGGTAATCTTGTAGTTGTATCATTTGAAGCGTACTCTTCTGATCTTGTAGTAGGTTGATCAATTTCTTGTGGTGAAGTTTCTTGGGAGGATTTTTGCGTTGTAGATGATTCAATTGCTGCATCTTTAGATTCTGGTGGTGTGGTTGACGTAGCATATGATGGTGATGATGGTGTGGATTTACTTGTAGCTTGGGTGGTAGTTTGATCAATTGGATATGCTGTTGTTACATCTTCAATATCTGAAACACTTGATCTTGTAGTTGTTCCAGTTGATTCCTCTCCTGATCTTGTCGTTGATTGATCATTTTCTTTTGTAGAAGTTTCTTGGACTGATTTTTGCGTTGTTGGAGATGATGCCATTGCTATATCTTTCGATTCTGGTATTGTAGTAGATGTAACAAATGCTGATGATGTTGATGATTCTGTAGATTTATCCGTAGTTCTGATTGTAGTTTGTTCAACTGTATATTCTGTTGTAACGTCTTCAATATCTGAAACACTTGAAGTTGTAGTAGACGGCAATCTTGTTGATGAACTTTGCTTCACGTCTACCTTTTCGTCATCCTCTAACACAGTTGTCATTTCACTCGAAGTTGGTGTAGTTTCAGTTACATCATCTGCTGATGTTAAATTGAATGTTGCTTTGCTCGTCGAGGATGGACTTGATCTTGTAGTTGTTGTAATAGATTCGTACTCTTCTGATCTTGTAGTTGATTGATCAATTTCTTTTGGAGAAGTTTCTTGAACAGATTTTTGCGTTGTTGTAAATGAGGCCATTTCTGCATCTTTAGATTCTATTGTGGTTGATGTAGCATATGATGGTGATGATGGTGTAGATTTACTTGTAGTTCTGATTGTAGTTTGATCAACTGTATATTCTGTTGTTACATCTTCAATATCTGAGACACTTGCTTTTGTAGTTGTATCAATTGATTCGTACTCTTCAGATCTTGTAGTTGATTGATCAATTTCCTTTGGAGAAGTTTCTTGGATTGATTTTTCCGTTGTAGATGATTCAATTGCTTCATCTTTAGATTCTGGTATTGTGGTTGATGTAGCAAATGATGGTGTAGATTTGCTCGTAGTTTGGATGGTAGTTTGATCAATTGGGAATGCTGTTGTTACATCTTCAATATCTAAAACACCTGGGCTACTTGATATTGATGTAGACGGCAATCTTGTTGATGAACTTTGCTTCACGTCTACCTTATCGTCATCTTCTAATTTAGTTGTCATTTCACTTGGCATTGTTGTAGTTTCAGTTCTATCTGCTGATGTTAGATTAAATGTTGTGCTACTCGTCGTGGATAAGGTTGGACTTGTTCTTGTAGTTGTATCAATTGATTCGTACTCTCCTGATCTTGTAGTTGGTTGTTCAATTTCTATTGGAGAGGTTTCTTGGACTGATTTTTGCGTTGTAGATGACAAAATTGTTGGTTCTTCTGATTCTAGTACTGTGGTAGATGTAGCAAATGATGAAGATGATGATGATGATTCTGTAGATTTACTTGTAGGTGTGATGGTAGTTTGATCAACTATTGTAACATCTTCAATATCTGAAACATCTAAACTACTTGCTTTCGTAGTTGGTTGTTCAAAGTCTCGTACAGAAGTTCTTTGGATTGATTTTTCCGTTGTAGATAATTCACTTGCTGCATCTTTAGATTCGGGGCTTGAGGTTGATGTAACATATGATGAAGATGTTAGTGACAACGTTGTGGATTTACTCGTAGGTCTGATTGTGGTTTGATCAACATGATATTCTGTTGTAACATCTACAAAATCTGAAACACCTGAACTACTTGCTCTTGTAGTTGTATCAATTGATTCGTCTTCTGATCTTGTAGTTGATTGATCAATTTCCTTCGGGGAAATTTCTTGGACTGATTTTGGCGTTGTAGATGATACAATTGTTGCAACTTCAGATTCTAGTACTGTGGTAGAAGTAGCATATGATGAAGATGATGATTTGAGTTTACTTGTAGTTCTGATGGTAGTTTGATCAACAGTATATTCCGTTGTTACATCTTCAATATCTGTAACACCTAAACTACTTGATCTTGTAGTTGTATCAATTGATTCGTAGTCTTCTGATCTTGTTTCTTGGACTGATTTTTGCGTTGTTGTAGATGATTTCATTGCTGCATCTTTAGATTCTGGAATTGTGGTTGATGTAGCATATGATGATGGTGCGGATGATTCTGATACTTTACTTGTAGTTCTTATTGATGTTTGTTCAACTGAATATTCTGTTGTAATATCTTCAATATCTGAAACACTTGCTCTTGTAGTTGTATCGATTGATTCGTACTCTTCTGATCTTGTAGTTGGTTGATCAATTTCTTGGACTGATTTTGTAGATGATTTAATTGCTGCATCTTTAGATTCTGGTATTGTGGTTGATATAGCATATGATGGTGTGGATTTACTTGTAGTTTGGATGGTGCTTGGATCAATTGAGAATGCTGTTGTTACATCCTCAATATCTAAAACACCTGGACTACTTGATACTGTAGTAGACGGCAATCTTGTTGATGAACTTTGCTCTACGTCAATCTTATCGTCATCCTCTAACTTAGTTGTTATTTCACTTGAAATTGTTGTAATTTCAGTTCTTTCTGTTGATGTTAAATTGAATGTTGCTTTGCTTGTCGTGGATAAGGTTGGACTTGCTCTTGTAGTTGTTGCAATTGATTCGTACTCTTCTGATCTTGTAGTGGGTTGATCAATTTCTTGTGGGGAAGTTTCTTGGATTGATTTTTCCGTTGTAAGTGATTCACTTGCTGCATCTTTAGATTCTGGTATTGAAGTAGATGTATCATATGTTGGAGATGATGATAAGGATTCTGTAGATTTACTTGTGAGTCTGATTGTAGTTTGATCAACTGAATATTCTGTTGTAACATCTTCAATATCTGAAACACCTGAACTACTTATTCTTGTAGTAGACGGTAATCTTGTAGTTGTATCAATTGATTCGTGCTCTTCTGATCTTGTAGTTGGTTGACCGATTTCTTGTGGTGAAGTTTCTGCGACTGATTTTTGCGTTGTAGATGATTCAATTGCTGCATCTTTAGATTCTGGTGGTGTGGTTGATGTAGCATATGATGGTGACGATGGTGTTGATTTACTTGTAGTTTGGATGGTAGTTTGATCAATTGGATATGCTGTTGTAACATCATCAATATCTGGAACACCTGAACTACTTGATATTGTAGTAGACGGCAATCTTGGTGATGAACTTTGCTTTACAGCTACCTCATCCTCATCGATCAACTTAGTTGTCATTTCACTCGAAATTGTTGTAATTTCAGTTACATCATCTGCTGATGTTAAATTAAATGTTGTTTTACTCGTCGTGGATAAGGTTGGACTTGATCTTGTAGTTGTGTCAACATCTTTAGATTCTGGTATTGTGGTTGTTGTATCATATGATGGAGATGATGATAATGAATCTGTAGATTTACTCGTAGGTCTGATTGTAGTTTGATCAACTGAATATTCTGTTGTAACATCTTCAATATCTGAAACACCTGAACTACTCTTTCTTGTAGACGGTAATCTTGTAGTTGTATCAATTGGGTCGGGCTCTTCTGATCTTGTAGTTGGTTGTTCAATTTCCGTTGGCGAAGTTTCTTGGGCTGATTTTTCCGTTGTGGATGAGGCAATTTCTGCATCTTTAGATGCTGGTCTTGTGGTTGATGTAACATATGATGATGGTGTAGATTTACTCGTAGCTCTGATCGTAGTTTGATCTACTGGATATGCTGTCGTAACATCGTCAATATCTGCAACACTTGATGTTGTAGTAGACGGCAATTTTGTTGATGAACTTTGCTTTACAGCGACCTCATCCTCATCCGTTAAATTAGTTGTCATTCCACTCGAAATTGTTGTAATTTCATCAGTTTCATCTGCTGATGTTAAATTAAATGTTGTTTTACTCGTCGTGGATAAGGTTGGACTTGATCTTGTTGTTGTGTCTGCATCTTTAGATTCTGGTATTGTAGTAGATGTATCATATGATGGAGATGATGATAATACATCTGTGGATTTACTCGTAGCTCTGATCGTAGTTTGATCAACTGGATATGCTGTTGTAACATCATCAATATCTGAAACACCTGAACTACTTGATATTGTAGTAGACGGCAATCTTGGTGATGAACTTTGCTTATCGTCATCCACTAACTTAGTTGTCATTTCACTTGAAATTGTTGTAGTTTCACTTACATCATCTTCGGATGTTAAATTGAATGTTGTGCTCTTCGTCGTGGATAAAGTTGAACTTGCTCTTGTAGTTGTATCAATGGATTCGTACTCTGACGCTTTTGTAGTCGGTTGATCAATTTCTATCGGAGAGGTTTCTTGGACTGGTTTTTCCGTTGTTGTAAATGATTCAATTGCTGCATCTTTAGATTCTGCTATTTTGTTAGATGTAACATATGATGGTGATGATGGTGTTGATTTACTTGTAGTTCTGATCGTAGTTTGATCAACTGAAAATTCTGTTGTTACATCTTCAATATCTGAAACATTCGATCTTGTAGTTGTTTCAGTTGATTCGTCTCCTGATCTTGTTTTTGATTGATCATTTTCATTTGGAGAAGTTTCTTGGACAGATTGTTGCGTTGTTGGGGATAATTCCATTGCTGCATCTTTAGATTCTGGTATTATGGTTGATGTCGCATATGATGTTGGCGGTTCCGTAGATTTACTCGTAGTTCTGATTGTAGTTTGTGCTACTGGATATTCTGTTGTAACGTCTTCAATATCTGAAACACTTGATACTCTAGTAGACGGCAATCTTGTAGATGCATTTTGCTCTATGTCTACCTTATCGTCATCCTCTAACTTAGTTGTTATTTCACTTGAAATTGTTGTAATTGCAGTTGCATCTGTTGATGTTAAATTGAATGTTGCTTTGCTCGTCGTTGATAAGATTGGACTTGATCTTGTAGTTGTATCAATTGATTCGTATTCAGCTAATCTAGTAGTTGGTTGTTGAATTTCTTGTGGAGAAGTTTCCTGGATTGATTTTTCCGTTGTAGATGATTCACTTGCTGCATCTTTGAATTCTGTTATTGTAGTAGATGTAACATACGATGAAGATGATATCGATGGTGGTTCTGTCGATTTACTTGTAGTGCTGATTGTAGTTTGATCAACTGAAAATTCTGTTGTAATATCATCAATATCTGGAACACCTGAACTACTTGATATTGTAGTAGACGGCAATCTTGTTGATGAACTTTGCTTTACGTCTACCTTATCATCAAGCACTAACTTAGTTGTCATTTCAATTGGAATGGTTGTAGTTTCAGTTCTATCTGCTGATGTTAAATTAAATGGTGTGCTACTCGTCGTGGATAAGGTTGCACTTGCTCTTGTAGTTGTATCAATTGATTCGTATTCAGCTAATCTTGTAGTTGGTTGATCAATTTCTTGTGGTGAAGTTTCTTTGACTGATTTTTCCGTTGTAAATGTTTCCATTGCTGCATCTGCAGATTCTGGTATTGTGGTAGATGTAACAAATGATGACGATGTTGATGATTCTGTAGATTTACTCGTAGTTCTGATTGGCGTTTGTTTAACTGAATATTCTGTCGTAACATCTTCGATATCTGCACCACTTGATGTTGTAGTAGACGGCAATCTTGTAGATGAACTTTGCCTCACGTCTACCTTTTCGTCATCCTCTAACATAGTTGTCATTTCACTTGAAATTGTGGTAGTTTCACTTACATCATCTGCTGATGTTAAATTGAATGTTGCTTTGCTTGTCGTGGATAAGGTTGGACTTGCTCTTGTAGTTGTTGCAATTGATTCGTACTCTTCTGATCTTGTAGTGGGTTGATCAATTTCTTGTGGAGAAGTTTCTTGGATTGATTTTTCCGTTGTAAGTGATTCACTTGCTGCATCTTTAGATTCTGGTATTGAAGTAGATGTAACATTTGAAGGAGATGATGATAATGATTCTGTAGATTTAGTTGTCGGTCTGATTGTAGTTTGATCAACTGAATATTCTGTTGTAACATCTTGAATATCTGAAACATCTATACTACTCGATCTTGTAGTAGACGGTAATCTTGTAGTTGCATCAATTGATTCGTACTCTTCTAATCTTGTAGTTGGTTGACCAATTTCTTGTGGAGAAGTTTCTTGGATTGATTTTTCCGTTGTAGATGATTCACTTGCTGCATCTTTGAATTCTGTTATTGTAGTAGATGTAGCATATGATGGTGATGATGGTGTTGATTTACTTGTAGTTTGGATGGTAGTTTGATCAATTGGATATGCTGTTGTTACATCTTCAATATCTGAAACACCTGAACTACTTGATATTGTAGTAGACGGCAATCTTGTTGATGAACCTTGCTTTACGGCTACCTCATCCTCATCCGATAACTTAGTTGTCAATTCACTCGAAATGGTTGTAATTTCAGTTACATCATCTGCTGATGTTAAATTAAATGTTGTTTTACTCGTCGTGGATAAGGTTGGACTTGATCTTGTAGTTGTATCAATTGTTTCGTCTATTGATCTTGTAGTTGATTGATCATTTTCTTTCGGAGAAGTTTCTTGGACTGATTTTTCCGTTGTTGGGGAAATTTCCATTGCTGCATCTTTAGATTCTGGTATTGTGGTAGATGTAACAAATGATGGTGGTGTTGATGTTGGTGTGGATTTACTCGTAGTTCTGATTGTAGTTTGTTCAACTGAATATTCTGTCGTAACATATTCAATATCTGAAACACTTGATATTGTAGTTGTATCAGTTGATTTGTCTTCTGATCTTGTAGTTGATTGATCTTTTTCTTTTGAAGAAGTTTCTTGGGCTGATTTTTCCGTTGTTGTAGATGTTTCCATTGCTGCATCTTTAGATTCTGGTCTTGAGGTTGATGTAACATAAGATGTTGGTGATTCTGTAGATTTACTTGATATTGTAGTAGACGGCAATCTTGTTGATGAACTTTGCTCTACGTCTACCTTATCCTCATCCTCTAACTTAGTTATCATTTCACTTAGAATTGTTGTAGGTTCACTTAAATCATCTGCTGTTGTTGGATTAAATGTTGTTTTACTCATCGTGGATAAGGTTGAACTTGCTCTTGTAGTTGTATCATTTGATTCATACTCTTCTGATCTTGTAGTTGGTTGATCAATTTCTTGTGGTGAAGTTTCTTGGACTGATTTTTCAGTTGTTGTAGATGATGCAATTGGTGCATCTTTAGATTCTGGTCTTGAGGTTGATGTAACATATGATGAAGATGTTGATGATGATTCTGTAGATTTACTTGTCGATCTGATTGTAGTTTGATCAACTGGATATGCTGTTGTAACTTCTCCAACATCCGAAACACCTAAACTACTTGATATTGTAGTAGACGGTAATCTTGTTGATGAACTTTTCTTCACGTCTATTTTATCGCCATCTGCTAATTTAGTTGTCATTTCACTTGGAATTGTTGTAGTTTCAGTTCTATCTGCTGATGTTAAATTAAATGTTGTGCTACTCGTCGTGGATAAGGTTGGACTTGATCTTGTAGTTGTATCAATTGATCCAAACGCATCTGATCTTGTAGTTGGTTGATCAATCTTTTGTGGTGAAGTTTCTTGGACTGATTTTTGCGTCGTAGATGATTCAATTGCTGCATCTTTAGATTCTGGTCTTGACGTTGATGTAGCATATGATGATGGTGAGGATTTACTTGTAGTTCTGCTTGTAGTTTGTTCAACTGAATATTCTGTTGTAACATCTGCAATAGCAGTTTTCGTTGTGTAATCTTTGACAGTAGTTATACCGTCAATTCTTGCATCTCCGGTACCTGTAATAGCAGATACAGGTATTCGAGTAGTACCAGGATGAGTTGTTGTTTGGCTCAAAATAACTAGTCGTGTATCATATCGTTCACCCTCTCCCTGTCTGCTTTGGTTAGGCTCAACACTTGTACTACCAGTAGAGGTAGTAGCTGTTTCTGTCGTGGATGGCAGAATAGATGAAGCGGTTCCTGTTTTTAAGAGGAATATCGGTTAAAATCATATGATAAATTGTCATTTTTTAAGAATAACTGCTGCACGCGCATAAGAATTATAAGAATTAACATTGAAAATTACCTGTTACTGAAGTAGGCATAACAGTAGTTCTGTTTGAGGCATCTGCTGGGATTTTGACTGATAAAAGAATAATAAAAGAGATTCAAAATTTTAGATTTTTTATCAAATGCAAGTTTGATTAGAAACAATTTTTTACTTACAGCAGTTATAACGAGTGCAGCATCGATCAATGTGTTTGATTGGAACACATTTAACTGTTGGATCGGTATTTTGATGTGGTTCACATAATATTTCATCACAGTATATGACACTATTGATGCAAACACAATATTCAACACAAGGATCACTATTTGCGACTTCTTCACCATTTTGATAAATTTTCCCACTATGGCGACAAATACCTATGATTGATGAGGAAAAGGTTAATAATTATAAAGCGAATAAGTTTTGAATTAAAGTTTGATTCAATTAAACTAACCTTCACCAGGAATAACACCAGGAGTGGGTGCTGGTCTTTTACTAGGTTCAGTCTTTTTCCATGTTACTCGGGTAGGATAGCCTTCAGTGAATGATTCTATGGGTGAAAATGGTCCAATCTCTTTTCTAGGCTGAGAAGGTTCATTTCCATTCATTGGACGACGTGGATAAACCGATGTTGTTGGTGGTATACTACTTGGAAGTGATGTTGATGTAATGTCCATCATCATGTAATGAGTTGATGACGAGTCTTTCTTTTCTGATTTAGTTGAACCAGGTTTAGTGCTTGTACTTGAAATTGAAAGTTCAGACGGAGTAAATTTATCGTCATGTGGAAGTAAAATATCATCTTTACGTCCATCAGCTGGTGTTTCTGATCTTGACAACATTTTATCAACGCTTGTTCGAGGTAAGGAAGTTGTCGACTCCACGACTTTTACAGTTGTTGTCGACGGTAATTTACGATGCACCACTGTCATATTACCAGCTAAAACACTTTTCGAGGGCAATTTGCGTGTTGGAGCAGCTTAAAGGAATTAAAAAATTACAAAGGTAAAAGGTTAAAATTAAATTAACAATAGAAAAAATCTTAATCTTAAGAAAAGTCAGCTTACCACATTCATATCGCTCAGGACAACACTTATCTGTCTCACTAGGTATTGGGACGCATCCATCACAAGGTGGTTTACACTCCTCAATAGCACAGACAATTTCATTTCGCATACAATAACAGTGTTCACAAGGTTCAGTTGAAGCTACAGCTTGTCCATCAGCATAATACTTTCCATTGAGCATACAGCCTTCGCCAGTTCCAATAGAATATCTAGAATCAGGAGGAACTGTTGTTGCCGCTTCAGCACCTTAGAATAAGAATGATGAGAGATTCAAAATTCAGTTAAATTGAATTTACTAACGGAATACAAGGAGAATGCTCGATAAAACTTACCACATTTATAGCGAGACGGGCAACATTCGCCCTTTTGATAAATTGGTTGGCATCCAGCGACCGATAAGGCACATTCTTGTATAATACAAGCTGAAGTATTTCGTATACAATAACATATTTCACAAGATTTTCCCGTTTCGGACGGGATTTGACTTCCTTCACGATGATGTTGACCATTAATATAACATCCTGCAATGATGTAAGTTAATATTAGTTATGAAAAAAGGTTTTGATCTTAAAATCCGAATTTAATCGAGTTTCTATGTAAAGTCGATTGGTACATCAATTACCTGGACCTTCAATCGGACTTGGTGTGGTTGTTGTGGTTGTCGTTGTTGTTACAGTTGTTGATGATGATAATGACAAAAGTCCTTCAGGCTCAGGGTCTGACTCTGGGTCAGGATCAGGTTCAGGGTCTGGTCCTGCAAGAAAATTAAATTATAAGCATAAATTTACGCATAAATAATTAAGCAAAAATGATGCAATTGGGTGAAAAATTAATTATTTTAAAAAGTTAATAAAATTTAGCTGATGAGTAGAAATCTCTCTAAGTTTACAAGTTTGAATATAGTCTATTAATTATGAAACTATAGATTATTAAATGATTAAATGAATAAATAATTAATATCTTGAAGACTTTTTCATATCTTTGAATCTTGCAGATACTTAAATTTAATCACTCTCTTGAAAAAAAGGAAGGGTTAAAGTATCTTTTTGGTGGTTGCATCTTAAATAACATTTTCCTATGCAACTCCTCCTTGCTCATTAATAAATTGTTAATAGATTCACAATATTTTAATCAAATTACTGAATAGCTGTATTAAACGTTACTTAAACGCATCTAATAAAGAAATTACACTAACTTATACATTCCATAGCCTTAATTGTTAGATATCTATGAAGTACTACAAAAGAGTAATCGTTCAAAGCTACAGAGTGTAAATTAGAAGGGTTGAAACTTACCATCAGGGCAGGATATCCTAGGACAACATTCACCAGGCACTTTTTCAATTACACATGATTCACCAATGGGTCGAATGAAGGGACAAACCCGAAGATAGCACATTAACATGCTATTAACACAAGTACAATTGAGACAAGGTTCATTTGTTTCAATTTGTTCACCATTTTGATAGTGTTTTAACAAATAGTAACAACCTGGAAAATTGAAGAGAAATCGTAATTAGTTATTGATAAGTAGCTCGATTCATATGAAAGCAGATTTTCTGAAAGAAATTGATAATTTAAAAAATAAAAACATAATTTATTTAAGCTTTATCTATTAATAGTAGACATGTGTAAAAAAACAGTTGAATTGATGAGCGGGATCTCGATCATTGTTTTGAGATCAAAGTTAGCTAAGATTGTTCAATCAAACCCCAGATGGCATTAGCTATTTTTAGATTTCATTTTTCAATGAATTGAAATTTTTTTCAAATTTCAACAAATCATCTAATTTTTTGTTTTTGTCATTCAACTAAAATTATTAATGTCCTAATTATTCGTGCGATTTCCATTAATAAGTTATGTCCATCATTTTTCTATGCACAAGTTAACTGAGGTAAGTAACGAAATTAATAAATACTTTGCGATGTTATGGTAAAACTAGCTGAGAAAGCAACATAATTTATCAGCGGTGCTTATGATGCCTAATCACATAAGATAGACTTCCCTTTATTTCTATATACAAATCCAAATAATGGACTGATTACATGATAATCTTGGACTTTGAGAAATTCTAGTTGGATTAATACACAGAATAGGATATGAATAAACCAAAACAAGGTACAGTTCCTATTTACAAATATTATAAATTATTCCAATTTTTAATTTTCATTCCAAGATTAACCTTTATTTTTTAAATTTTAATTTCAGGGTTGATTTATTGGTCGAAATTTCTAGATGACAAGCTGCTTACCTTTTTCTTTAGGAGATCTAGATTTACCAAATGGAAATGGTGCTGCAAGAGGATAAAAGATAATCGTTTATACAATATGCTTGGTTAAATAGAGTCACTTCATGACTTATACGTTACCTGAGCTAACCAGTGTTAAACATATGACCAGAGAAGCGATGAGAAGGGCATTTCTGGCACTAAATATCCTCGGGATATGCCACAGAAGAGTGCCCATAACGGACAAATTTATACTCTAGAGTGATTCTACTGGGAAAAGAAAGGATAAAGAATAAGAAATCCGTGTTAAATAATTGGTCATCATTCCTGTCCATCAAATTATTTGCATAAAACAAGAACTGTTATTCATCGTGGGACATCTATTTTCAAATGTTATTCAAACGTCGATCCATTGTAAGGCATAATGCAAGTATTTCATCAAATTGCATCATTATCCCGATGAAATTGAAAATTAAATCCTCTTCCTGATGATAATCAACAGAACCTTGACCTAGTGAAATTGATAGTGAAGTTAATGACTTTATAGCCTTCACCATCTTCTCGTTTCCTCTGTTAATGAACTTAACTGTTTCAATGAACCGGATAACAAGCACGCAATATTTTAATTTTTTTCACCATTCTAATCATTATTATTATTTTCTATTAAACCAGGTAGAGTAATCAAGAGAGGGCAAAAGCAGATCCAAGAGAGTGAGCTGGAGTAAAAGATTGTTTGCTTACAAACGCATTTACCCTTGAAGGTGCAGATTATTATTAGAGTATTTTCCAGTGGGTTAGAATCGAGTAATGGAAGGATCAAGCCAAAGAAGGAACAGAAATAAAAGTAAAATGAAAGGGGTAATAGGAAGTATAAGGTTAGGTTAATAAACTAGAAGTTTTGTCTTCTAATTTAAAGCTGAGAAGAGATTGATTAAGACCACATTTTAAACAAAAATGGCCAAGATTAGAGTCGTTCAACTTGAGATTATTTATTTACTTATTATTTGATGAAATGGTAGAGAAAAGCCTTTTTGAATTACAGATGATTTGATTAGTATAGATATCCATTTATCCCACCGGCTTATCATCTTAATACAAGATACCACAGGTTAAATCATTAATCACAAGAATTAACTTGAAACCTCTGAACTTTGCTCATCAATTCAATGATTAATTTTTACATTGAAAACGAAACAATTTTGTTAGTCTAAATGTAAATACAGTCAGTATTGGAAAGATTGCCATTAAACCCAATAATTTGAGGTTAAGATACTCATTCATTTGCACACATTTATAAAAGTGAATTGGCTTAGCTTGTTGGATCAATGAACAGGTGAATAAATAATACAACTGGAAAGGTTAGGTTAAAGTTAGGTAAACCTGAACAATTATTGTCATCTTAACAGTTGAAATCAATTTTCACTGGTTTGCTTGATAATCTTAAACACTAAATTAAACATGTTCATTTTCAATGTATTAAGATACCTGTTACTCAATCACAATTGAGTTTGTTTGTTTGGGTAAAAACCAGAAAATCAAAATTTTCACAATACAAATGGCGTTCAAAATTGTAATTATGTTGATGATTATGATAGAGTGATGAAAGTAAAATGAAAAATCAACATTGAAAAAAAGTCAAGGTAATGTTAACATTTCCCATGAATCAAGTTATTACAATAATGGAGTAAAATCATGAAAAAAATGGCCAACTTTTTCCTAATTCTCATCAATTTATAGCCTATTTTTAGTCTAAATTTGATTTGAATCTATGTTGATATAATTTCACACTAAAACCTAGACAGTTAACAATTGTAATGCTTTATTTGATTACAAGATTTGGGTTGAATTTCATTGGGTTTGGGTAAAGTTGAGGTTTTCAATGTTGCCTTTAATTCAACATGGATTGACAATTAATTAGATTCCGTCAATAAATCCAGTCAAATTGTTAGATGTGTTTAGATGCTGTTACAGTCAAAATTCAATAGTTCTGTGTCATTTCTCAATGAGAGTTGATTTCAATTTATTAGTCAGCCTATTTTGAACCAGGGAATCCCATATAATTGCTTGTGAATTGTTGCATTTGTCAGTTGAACATTATTAATGTTCAATTTTTTTCCTGTTGAATCATCATTTAATTTTGATTTGGGAATGAAAATTGAAAAAACAACAAAATATCTTGTATCATTTCATACAATGATCATAATCAGTAGAAAACTAAATATTTTTTGGCCTTTTCTTTATGGTTTTTAATGATAATCAAACAAATATTATTTGCCCTTAAGTAAAATCACGCTTCTTTTCATGATAATATTGTTCAGTTGTTTTTACCTTAATAATGGTAATGATGATGATGAGACGCCATGTTGATTTCAATGGTACATCCAATGTTAATAAGAGTGAAAATGTTTCATTTTTAACCATTTTTTAGCTATGAATCACTGTCTTGATCAATGCTATCAACTTGAATTGGTATTTAAATATCTGTGACTAGTTAATTTTTGTCTGAATGATATTTTTAATTCAAACATTTATTGCTATTGAAGTTGATTGATTAAAATTTAAATAAAACGCCGTTACAATGAGAGACAGTAACGGATTAAATTTGCATTAAAATTATCAGCTGTTGAGAGCGAGGCAAGCCTTTCAAGAAAGTTATTAATTGTAACATTTATTTTTATTCTTTATTTATATCATTAGTATCAGATGATTATCGTTTGTTATCAATTAATGAGGCCTTTTTGTCGTATCTATCGTTAACCATGTATTGACTTGACAGTGATGACATTTTGATAAGATATTTCTTCATGTGCAAAGCAAAGTGATAACCTGGTTGAACATTTATCATAACAGATTTGTCAATCAAAAACTATATAACTCTATCAACACATTTTTTCCGTTTTAATCAACTTAAACCCGTTTTTAAGCCAAAGGACGGGTTAAAAATGTCTTGGTGACAATTAATCAGATAATACACGTTAATGTATTTTACACTTCTAAAGTGTTAGCTTTAATCCAAGACGATGGCCAATGGTTAAACTAATATTTTAGTTTTGGATGGAAAGTAAAATGATTTTTGACATTGTATCTCGCACATCGGAGGATTTTTCAGAGGATTGAATGTTCATCATCGCTCAAGTTTCATTTTGACATCTTAATAGCTCAACTCGAACAGGATCAACAGCTTTCGGACAGTCAGCCATTGTAATGAAACGAAAAGCTTCATTATGCAAATAAAAGCAGCCTTGATGAACAAGGTTTAAGTAAAAGGTATCCACGTCGTTTTTTACATATTTTTTTACCAAAATTGCGATAGACTATTTTGGACCACAATCATCTGTTGACCAGTTGAAATACCAACGAAATAAGCAAGGTTAATAATTACAACGTTTTTTACCTTTACAGATGTTAATACTGTTCGGAGCAAGCAACTATAAAACAAGCAAAAAAGTGCAGACAGAAAATGTCTAAAGGATGAAAAATGCTGGGATGGTGATGAGATTTGGAGATGATGATGATAATGGTAAAGACCTTCTTCTATTGATCAACAATGATAAACAAAACCTTGAACAAATTCATGGTCATTTTGAGTGGAATGGTGGTCAATCAACGAGAAGAAAGAGAAAGTGAAAAAAAGCAAAATGCGGTCAATTATCATCAAGTTAATGATATTGTCTATTCAACCCACGCTTTCATTATTTGTCCAGGATTATTTGAAAAGATGAATTATCTGTGGTCATTCCATCATGACTATGATATTATTTTTATTTTTGGTTGAGTTGAAAAAATTTTCATAAGGAAAAAAAGACTGAATGTGTCCGTCTATTATTATCGTTTTTATGCATGGCCTTTTCATTAACTATTTAACTTGACAATCAGGTTTACCCATTTAAAGCTTGGTTTACTTGAGCAATGTATATTTTGAAATCAGCTGAAAATGGTCAACGTAATTGTTGATGATTTATTATCGCTTAAAACCTTAATAATACAGCAATGGTGGTTAGGGATGACAAATGGCAATCAAACAGGAATCATTACAAGATTTCCATGTAAATACATCTTTCTTTTTTCATCTTATATTGAATATTTTTGGGACAAACATTTTTACCGAATGCCAATTGAGATTTACCTTTTATTGGATTTGATTAATAGGTAATAATATTAATAATAAAGATAGTAATCACCAGCAATGTGACTAAATTTTAAGCTAAACCTGCAAAAATACAAGTCAAAGTGAAAAAGATTAAGATTATTGCCATTATTTGTCTTCTGGTTATATCTTGGTAAATAAATTGTATGTAATTTAAAATTTAGACATCTAACTAAGCTTAATTTGGTTCATCTCAAATTTGCTGGATCAATTAATTATCAACTGATCAATTGGTCAGAGTTACACAGTTCACTTTGACTTTCACATGACATGATTAATGAAATTTTCAATCTCAACATGAATGCTTACATTAAATGGGTTCTCAAACATGCAACTTTCACCTTACAATAACCAGTCTAATAAGTCTGTAATTGTAGAGCTGCTAACTTAATCCAGTTTTGACTAGATAAATCTCACCAACAAATATTGAAGATGCCAGGTAAATTGTTAAACCGGTGAGCAAAAGTCTGACGCTTAAAACTGTACAATAAGACATTAATATATCTTTAGTTGAGTGAAAATATCCAGTGAATCTAAAAATTATTTACTCTCAATAGGTAAAAATTGATTGAACCAAATCTTTAGAGCTATCAAAATGAACGAGTATGATGATCACAGATTAAGATATTTTGACTCTTAGATTGTTGAATAATACGACTGATGAAAGAACAATGATTATCTGATGGTGTTAATGTTGATCATAATTATAAAGGTAAAAGACGTTTGATCATGATGCTTTGAATCGTGATGGGAACGTAAAATTAACAATGACAAAAGATGAAATACCAAAAAGCTTTTAAACCAGCCTCAGAAGCTACTCGAGGGACATCAATGTTTCGGCCAAGAAAGCATAACCATAATGAATAGAGAAACAGAGAATCCACCAGAACTCATCAAGACGATTGTAACAAGTGGCCAAATACATGATTGAATCAACAGGTTCAATTCAAGTTGACAGATGCATGAGGATCACAGTCATAAAACAACTGCAACTTACAAACTAAAATTGAATTGCCAACAAATGACCGGCTAGAAAGCGAATCAACCATTGACGAGTGACCATTTTATAAAAGGTAATTTAGACCAGGTCAATCCCAGTGCAAGTGTATATAATATTACTGTTACTTAATCTAACAATATCCCAGCCGATGAATAATAAGAGTCAGACGATACCACTGGCTATCCATTAAATAACGTATACCGTTGAAAGTGAGAAATAATCAGCTGGCACAGAAATATTAACAAGGTTGATTGTAAAGCTGTAAAATTAATCAAGTTCAGCTTTTATTAAATTATAAAATAATCAGCAGAGTAACAAAACATAAACAAGACTATACCTGTTGAGGCAGACGTTCAAGCTCATAAAGATGAAACGAATAAAGATGAATGAAAAGAAGAGCTTCAAGACAATGAAATTACAACATTAAACTACATTTAAGTTTAAAAATGATTAAATTATTGAAAAATTGGAAAAGAAATATCGATTAATTAAATAAATTTCACATTATCCCACAAAAATACTAACAAAAAGCTTTGATCATCAAAGTTTGATGATCTCACAGCAAATTCAAAGCAAAAATGATCTGAAAATAGATTACATAGGTTTCGCTATTTTAACAGCAAAGGTTTATTTTAACGCTCAAAATTATGCAAATTGAAATTAAATTAAATGCAAAAGTTGATAAATTAATAACAGCTTATTTTGACTGTAAAAATACAACATTTTAAACTAAAGATTGAAACAATTCATGAGATAGATTAGAGTTTTGTTAATCTCTATGAATTAACTCTGAAAGAAACAGTGAAATTGATAATAATTGATGGTCTTAACCTTTTTAAAGGTTACTTTATCAGTTTCATTTCAAGTTTTAGGATGAAAGTTGATTCAAATGATAATAAATTTGACTGTTAATACAATTAAAGGGAAAGTTTAAAATTTTACTTTCAAATGTAGCCTGTTGGATGACAGTTTGGTCAGCCTTTCAGACCCATCATCAGAATTATCCCTTTCACATGATCGTGATAACGAAGAAAAATGAAAAATGCTAAATTATGAGCTTCAACAAGATTATTGTTACAGCAAATTGCCTTTTCTCAGTCAATTGACCTCCACAATCAAAAGGATTAACTTTTCAAGAATTGCTATGAAAAATGATGATTCTAATGATAATTCTGATGATGATTCTGATGATGATTCTGATGATCATTTTGATGGTGATTTTGATGAGCTAATATCAAGTTAAAAGTAAAGTCAGTTGATTTGAAGAAGACGAATGTTTGAAATATTTCCCTTCTTTTACCAGATTTGTTTTTCCATGTAAATTAAGGTGATATCATAGAGCACCTTTTGATTGTAATAATTGATCACCTTGATTGTGAAGATCACAACTGAAAATGAAGGTTAATATTGATGCAACGTTAAGGATGCAAGCAGACTTGTAAGGTTAAAGATGAATGAACAGTTAAACAGTTATCCTTTTTGTTTCTGGTCACAATACAGTTTTAATCAATCACTATTAATCAATTATTCAATTTGGGAAATAATTGAAACAAAAAAAAGCTCAACATTTATCCATAAAAACAATGAAAGCAAATGATAAAAATATCTTCAAGGCAAAACTGTAAGCTGATTGATGATAAAAGCTGACAAAATACGGAAACAATTTTCAACCTTTTTCAATGCGATTTAACCCTAACTCATTAAATCAAATTTCATTTGATTAATAATAATGAAAGCAACTGAAAAACGCAGCAAAAATAAAAGTAAAAGGTTGGCGCCAAAATAGCAGCAAAAAAGGCAAAGTTCAAAAATCTAAAACAAAGTAAATGAAGAAAATTTGAGCAAAAAAAAGAGATGAAACTGTAAACAAAATAATTTGCGAGTTAAAAGGGTAAAAATGATGGACAATTAAAGGAGCAACAAGTTGAATAGTAGCCCTTAAATGACCACAGGGCAAGTTGATGATGATGATGAAGAGGAGGAGGAAAAGCCTTTCTCTGGTTAACTCTTTCTTCTTCCGGGAATCAATCTTAATTTACTTTTTAACCTTTGTTTGATTGTTGAACGATCACATGAATATCGGTTTTCTGTACATCACAATATCAGCAAGATAATGATGATGAGGCCAGAAGAGGTTGGCACATAATAGACATTTACCTTTAGGCTAATTAACCCCTTTGGTCATGGTATTAAAAACAAGTTTCACTCATCATGATAACACCATCATAATAATCATTATGATCCTGAATCATTAAACAAAATGAAAATTTCTTTCCAATATTTTTACCTCTTTTGGTTGACTTTGGAAACATTTGTTTATCAAAACCTCTTTACATTTTACAATAAATTTTGATTCCTTTTTTCCGTTCTGACCTTTTGCATTGCGCTCTTGACAATTAATTTTCTTGATTAACATTAATTTGTTCAAATTAAACTGATTAGCTTCCGGAGGAATACAAACATACATTAATAATGTTAATAATAAAGAATCTTGTTGATACATTAACAACAAATGTTAATGATAAATGGAAAGGTGAACCGTTAATTGCTGTTACAGAGTTAAATGGTTTACTTTACTTTCAATGATAAATTGTGATTGAAACATTATTATTTAATGGTAATAATGTTAATTACTTTGACCATTAACAAACCATTGGGTAAACATTGAACACAGAAAAAGGGTTTCAGGTCAACTTTACATTGACCCATAGCCTTATTAAACCCTATTCATGATTTTTCCTATTTTTTATTATTTCCTAAGCCTTCTCCTATTATGAAGGTAACCAGCAATCAAATGGTTAAATTGGTGATGTCTTTAAATTTAACCTAATAGTTAACTAACACTGTTAACTAACTATGGACAGTCAAAATTAAAATGAACCTAAAATGAAAATAGGAAAATCCATTGAAAGCAATGGAAAATCAAGACAAAATCTTGTCAATCGAAGCTCGAGTGTTTCATCTCATAATGTTCATTTGGGACAAAAAAGTGATTCTTTAAGCAAACGTCAAAATTTTCAGTTGAGAGTTGGGTTGTTGGTTGTAAATACATAACTGATTCCTTGTAACTCAAGTCTCTCTGATGGACAATCATTACAAAATTGGGTTCAAAACATTTTCCTTAAAATCATATTATTAATAGTTTGGTCAAAATTTTTAGGCAAAAATTTGATACACTCTCTTGATGTGGTTAGATTAACTCATATGATTTGTTGATCATCAAGTAACAATAATTTACAGTTTAAATTGTTAGCCACTTTAGTTGAACCAATGGTAGGAAAAAACAATTGAAGTTTACTTTGAAATTTGAAAGCAACTTTCAATGTCTTTGGATTGTTTAATTTTCAAGCTAAAATTGTGATTGATTCAAGAAAATGTTGAATACCTATTATAACGAGTCATCTTTACAATTTAACCATTAGAGTTGAATCGTTAAAGTTAATCATTAAGAGTTAAATATTGCGAGTTGATCATTGAGTTAATCTTGTTGGAGGTTATTAGTGAAAGGTAATTCAAATTGATCAATTCAATCTTCCTGGTTCATCGAGCTGGACAATAGAGTTAATTGTATAACCTTTTTTAATACTTTTTTCCCTGTTTAATTTTAATCATCATTTAGTCCTTGTTATTCAAACCATTAATAACTCTCAATAATCAAATAATGTCTGAGCTTTTTTGAATGTGTGTTTGGTTAAGAAAAAAGTGAAAATCTCTTTTCATGATTTGTTTGGTGAAAAAAGCTCACGATAAAGGTAAGGATGATCAAGAGGATGATTATGATGATTATAAAGAAGCGTCTGTTCATTGAAATAACCAGCTGTTAGTAAGAAGGTAAAGTGAAAGTTCGAGTTGAATCGCAACCAGTTTCTGGTTAAACCTTGAACCAGAAAAGTAAAAGGTTCAAAGTCAATGTCAACCTAAACATTGTCTGGTATCAACACTTGAATAACTGTTTCAATAACAATTCAAGTTCAATGCAATAATCCAAGAGTGAGTAAAAATGAATGTAAACTCACCTAATTTAGGTTTAATCAAAAGATCCAAGAGTACAACATAGAGTTGTTGTTGACAATTGATGATGATGACAAGATTAAACAATTGACCAATCCTTTAATGAATGGTATTTCAATGATAAATTGTCACAAAAAGTGTGAAATAAAACCCAAAAAAATACAAAATCTAATATCCTTAAAGCTGCTTTGATTTACAATGTTTTTAATGTCTGTTGTTGCTGTCTCTCTGTTAAACTTGTTGTGTTAAAGATGGTTGATCAAAATGAATAAATTAATTGTTGATGTTGATTGTAAAATTTGGTCACTTGGAGATTAAAATGAAAACGTATTCCTGTATCGAAAAAATTGGAACCAAATTTGGGTAACAAACAAATAAATAATCAAGTAAATACTAAGGTACTGTTATCAATAAAAGTAAATGTCAAACAATAATGTGAAAAATTCATCTCACTGTAATCATAAGTAAATGATATTAAAAAACAGTTAGAGGGTTAAGATATGAACATGATCAACTGAGAGAGTTGATGAGAGAGGAGAGAGGGAGAGAGGGAGGGTGAGAATGATGATAAATCTGAGTTCCTAGCATGATAAAATAATACTGATATTCAGCAAGTTTCAGCCATGAGTCCAAGTGAATTTTGTTTGTGTATTGCCTGAGAGAGTCAAAGAAAAAAAAGAAAAGAGATGATTTTAAGATGAAGAAGAGAGAGAAAGATGATGATGATGATGATAAGAAGTACGCCTTATGAACGATTCATATTAATGCTTTCTTAGGAATATAAAAGTTCTAGAAGAAGGAACAAGTTTTCTTTTTCTTAAGAACATCCCTAAACATTTTTTCCTCTCCCAACCTTTCTTATTTTCTACCTGTATCAGCATTTACCTTTGATTTTCATCTTTTCTCTCTTATCATCATCAGTCTCATCAGTTTTTTTTTCATCACCTTCATTATCATTATTCGTCTTCCCTTTTCTCTTCTTCACGATTACGAGCTGCTTTGTTCAATATGAATCTCTGGTTGGAAAAGTTGAATACTCATTCCAAATGACGGCTTATTTTGAGACTTTTTCACTTTCCTTGATCACCAGAAATTTCATCCTATTGAGTCTTGAGTATGTAAAGTATCTTGAAGTATCACTTGACGGCTGAAATAAGAGTACATTTGGTTGTAATTTAGTTTGATTTCAATTCCATTTTCAGAGGATTGCAGCGAAAGTAGCATCAGTTCAGCAGAAAGGCATTCTTGGAAGTCATTGCTTTCATTTCAATATTTTGAGAGATTTTTGGTCCATTTTATGTTCTCTGTCCAGTTTAATAGTGATTAACCTAATGATCAGGAAACACTTTGATTGTTGATTCTGGAGAATGGTGAAAGATAGGAAATGAGAAGAACGAGTTTACATCATTATAATCAAATGATTATTCCAGTGCTATTAAATTAATACTGTTATTATACCAAGGTCAAATGTAATTAAATAATAATAAGTATCAAGGTTAGCAAAGGCAAGTTGAATCCTTTAGGAGTTTCAAAGTTTTGTTTTGAAAATTTTGAACTCCGATGGTGTTTCTCAATCAATAATGAACAATATCAATCAATTTAATTTTCTTCCAGGGCTAGACCATGAACCTGATCCTGACCCAGAGTCAGACCCTGAGCCTGGAGGACTTTTATCATTATCATTAACAAAGGTAGAAGTAATGACGAGTACAACAATTATAGTAAGTCAAATCGACAATGTCCACATCTGTATCGTCATCAACTTCCGAGCAGATTGAAGATGTGCAAGAAAGATGAAGAGGAAAAAGAAGACGAAACAACGACATTTGCACCAATAATTCTGCCGTAACAATATCAAATTCAAAAAGATACATAAAATGTAAATCATTGTATCGAGCTCAATTTCATCCAAAACATGCAAAGTAACTGAAACTACAATTTCAAATGAAATCAACTACAAGATCAGCTGAGTTTGAATCAATTGATACAACTACAAGAGCAAGTTTAACCTTATCCACGACGAGTAAAGCAACATTTAATTTAACATCAGCAGATGATGTAAGTGAAACTACACCAATTGCAAGTGGAATGACAACTAAGTTAAAGGATGACGATAAGGTAGACGTAAAGCAAAGTTCATCAACAAGATCAAACTACAATCACAACTACAAGTAATCCACCGAATCATCATCTTCAACTTATGTTACATCAGTCACACTACCAGAATCTAAAGATGCAACAACAACGGAAAAATCAGCCCAAGAAACTTCTCCAAAGAAAGTTGAACAACCAACTACTAGATCAGAAGAGCACCAATCAATTGATACAACTACCAGATTACCGTCTACTACAAGATCAAATAGTTCAGTTGTTTCAGATATTGAAGATGTAACAACAGAATATACAGTTGATAAACTACAAGTAAATCCACATATTCATTATCATCATCTCCATCATATGATACATCTACTACAATACCAGAATCTAAAGATGCAGACACAACTACAAGATCAAGTCCAATCTCATCCACGACGAGTAAAACAACATTTAATTAATAACCACAATACCAGAATCTAAAGATGCAACAAGTGAATCACTTACAACGGAAAAATCAATCCAAGAAACTTCTCCACAAGAAATTGAACAACCAACTACAAGATCAGAAGAGTACGAATCAATTGCAACAACTACAAGAGCAAGTCCAACCTTATCCACGACGAGCAAAGCAACATTCAATTTAACCACAACAGATGTAACTGAAATTACAACAATTTCAAGTGAAATGACAACTAAGTTAGAGGGTGACGATAAGGTAGCCGTAAAGCAAAGTTCATCAACAAGATTACCGTCTACTACAATATCAAGTAGCTCTGGTGTTTCAGATATTGAATAATTAACAATAGTTGATCAAACTACCATCACAACTACAAGTAAATCTACAGAATCATCATTAACATCTTCATCATATGTTACATCAACCTTAAGACCAGAATCTAAAGATGCAGCAAGTGAAGTATCTACAACGGAAAAATCAATCCAAGAAACTTCATCGCAAGAAATTGATCAACCAACTACAAGATCAGAAGAGTACGAATCAATTGATACAACTACAAGAGCAAGTTCAACCTTATCCACGACGAGTAGCACAATATTTAATTTAACATCAGCAGATGATGTAAGTGAAACTACAACAATTTCTAGTGCAATGACACCTAAGTTAGAGGATGACGGTAAGATAGAACAAAGTTAAACAAAGTTCATCTACAAGATCACCGTCTACTAACCGTTACTAACATACTGATCTAGATGATACAATAGATGTTAATCCTCTAGCAATTGATAGCTAATAGCCCTGATAATTATCGACCACTGAATGTCCAACATAAAATATCCATTTTATCCTTTTTGCCTTGAGCATCTTTTCCTGCCAATCGATTACATTGTCATAACCGATGCAATCCTTTGATTCTGGTTGAGCAGGTTAAACCTTTATTGTTGTCCAGGTTATCTGCAGATGAAAGAATGAGCGTGAACATGATGAAGTTGATGATGATGAAAGATAGCTTTGAGAGTCAAAATGGAAGTAGCCTTAAAATAACCAGAGGCTAAACAACAAAAATCAAAAAAGCAAGATATGCAGAAGAGAGGAACGAGGAGAAACCCTTTCTCTCTTTAACTCTTTATTCTTCCGGGAATCAATCTTCATTTACTTTTTAACCTTTTCTCGATTACATTAATAATTATCAAGTCACCAAAATTTAAAAAACAACAACAATAAACTAACAATAATATCAAAACAAAACAGTTTGATTATCAATCAAACGCTGCAATGAAAAAGAGAGGGAAAGCCATGTGGTTATTAACCAATCCGGGATTCAGATATTGTAACCGGTCAATTTAAACTAGAAATTGATTTATAAAATCAGCCAAATCAATTTCAATGATAATTACCATTTTAAATTTGAAATCACTGTTAAGTATAACAAAATTTTACGGTAAATTTTTCAAATGATTTGTTAACAATTAATATTTCCTTATTGAAATGAAACATTAACCCATTGCTTGCCACTGAAACAAGCCTTCATTTACCTGCAATAATTACTGTTAATGTATTAATGGAGAAGAAGAAAAAATTATTGTTTAATGGTGATAACTAATAATTTTGTAAATAGTTACAAATTACAATTTACATTTACTCTGGGTAACACGATTTTGACCGGGTAAACAAGATGATGATCAATTTACTTATTTACCCATTTGCAGAAACACATTAATGATATACAACAAAGGTATGATTTAAGACACCTTTGAGTTTTAATTTAGATTTGCACAGCGCAATTTGATGAATTAATTGTCATCTAATTACTATAATAAACACACTAACATGTAAGTAATATGTATAATCATATGAGGCAAACATCCATTGCTTTTGGTGTGGCCATTGCTATGATAGTTGCCGGCGATTAACTGTTTTTGTGGTCATTCTGATCAATTGACTTGAATTAACCAAATCAGATATAACGTGATAGATATAAATCAATCAAAAATATCGATAAATAAAGCCTTTGCATCCTATGAAGTTTCATTTGGTGTCATCGCTCTGGTTAACAGCCTTTCAATGGATTACGTCTGTGACCAAATAATTGCTCTTTCAGTTCATCATTATTTCAATGTTGTTGGTGATGGTCATAATGATGATCCTTTGATGGTCCTCCTGTAAGGGAAGCAAAAAAAAGAGGAAAAGTAAGTTCATCAAATTTAAAGAAATGAATTAGCTGCCCGAATCAAAAAACTAAGGGCTTGGATTGAAGACAGACTAATTTAGTCTCATTAGAACCCAATCAGAACTGGATTTGGACTAGCTATAACTCTAGAATTAAAATTGAATTACACATTGAGAAGAGATTTGGGAAAAATTGCCATGAAAGAAAAGGTGAACATGATGAAGAAGGAAAAAATTTCTTGACAGAATAACATTTATAATTGGTAAATCTCTCCTCACTCTCTGTATATTAATCCATCTTTCAAAGCCCGTTGTAACCGTGAGAATTTGACCATCATCATTATCATTTCTACCATCTTCATCATCTTCATCAGTTTCAACATTTTCACCATTCAACCTTACCTTCAAATAGCCTGGAGTTGCTTTAATCCAGAGAACGGAAAATGTACATTTTGCCCTTTTGTATTGTCTTTGCTTGGCTTCGGAAAACAATCAAATCCAGAGATGATTAGCATGATAATTTGCCATTCCAATAAAATAACCTGATTGAAATGGAGAGGTAAAAAATGATGAACCATTAGCGTCTTTCAAAATCTACTTACACTATCTAAATTGTACTCTTTTCAATATCAAATGCATCGTTTATAATTTTACCTTTAAATTTACTGAAACGTTAATCAAATGTTATAACAGATTAATCTTAATCTAGTCTATTATTTAGTCCTGAGGCCAAAAAAATATTCAACCTCTGGATACACGCCAGGAAAATGTAAGCTTGTATCCAAGATAAATAGGTAAAATTGGTTCAAATCAAATTTTGCTTCATTTGATTCTTTTGTGATTATCATTTATCAACAATTACAATCCATTTTGACATCAACTACAAACCACTATCACCATGGTTAGTTAATTAATCAGCCAACTGTGAGTTTGTGAAAATAATATTAAACATTTGCAAAAATCAAAGTCTTAGGCCTGAAACAAGAAGCCAAACCCTAGAGCATTGTCTAACCAATTTGTAGACTTACCTTCATCATAATAGGATTAATTTAATCCAGGGTATTAAAATGATCCTTTAGTTAACACAATTACAGGTTTAAAATAACAATTTACCAGACAACAATTAAACAATAAAAACACCTAAGCATTACAAGTTAATCCACTTGAGTCAGTAGCATTAGACTAGTAATAACTTGCTGCTAATAAGTTACTCTTAACATGTGTAAGTGGACAACAGCGCCTCGAGTATCAATGCCTGTCTTGAGCTTCATTAGTAATACCTTTTATTAAATTGTTTTCACCATGACTTTCATGAGTGATTGATGATATTAACTTCCGGAATAATGATTGCAACAATTGAATTAACCGGGTAAAACAACAATTACATTGACTAAATGAAATGAACATGCTTCAACAATTAGGTAATGTGAAGATGTTTCGGTGTACTTTAGCTTTCTTCATATGGACAAGTCTATTGAAATATTTACTCAGGGAAAGACCCTTTTTCAATTTACTTTTTATGAGTAATCATTACAAAATTATTTTCTCTGATTGTTGATTGAAAAAAACATACACATTCAATAATAATGATAATTCCAATGATAAAAATATTCCCAGAGTAATAATGTTATATAAATGTTGAAATGAAACAGTGGAAAAGCGTTTGTAAGTACAAGAATTATCTCAAGGTAACATTTCATTGATTTCTTAATTTTTTCTTCTTCTTCATACCTTTCCTGAATGCCAGTAAATATCATTAAGTTCAATCATCGCTCAATCATTTGCTTTTTTCCAGCGTTATTATTATAACTTTGCTTGATTGTATTACACATGATAAAAGTAAACATGATAACAATTGAAGAGTAAAAGTTGAAATTATGAATGAATGTGAAAGAAGGCGAGAGAAAGTAAAAAAATGAAACTAAATTAATGTGTAAGTGTACAAATCGTTCCTCAAAGATAATCAATGGTAATACGTAATGTTTGTAAAATCAAAGGTAGATTCCCTTTTAATCAATCTATCACGCAATGGTGTATCATGATTGTGATGATTTTCAAGCCTTTTCAACACAACAATAGTTTGTGTTCAGGTTGATCATTTCACTCTTCTTGAAACCATTTTACATTGTATTTCTCTCCATTACTCTTGTGATTAGGTGATGATAAGGATTAGCCCAAACAAGTATGGCCAGTCCAGGGAAAACTGGTCATAAAGCTCCCTGTTGAATCCTGAATTTGTATCGCCATTGAAAGTTGTCATCAGTATTGATGGATTGGATTGACCGGTAACCAAAGGTAAAAGTTAATTGACTTTAAACGGTCAACATTGCAACCAAATTTGCTCTTCTAATTTTGACAAATGTTAACTTCCGAAAGATCTAGACTGGGAATCTTGTTAATGGCCAATCCAATGAAAGGTTGATTCCAAGATTAATGGGTGGATTATGATCATCATGAATCAACTTTGAATATGGAACCATGGAATTAACAATTACTGGAAAAGAGAGAAAAGTACAAAAAATAAAATTGATTAATATAACATGCAACTCTTTTGAATCTTTTTTTTTCTTCTCGTTCTTCTTCCACTTTCTAACATACAATTAAATATATGTATTTAATTTAATTAACTAGTTAATTTAGCTTTCTAATTTTAATTTTGAAGATGATTTCTTTTCACTTTTTGGCTTATAGCTTGTTGATTAAAGAATCAGATAATAAGAATGATTATTCCAATTAATTACCACACTTACCTGAATGAACACTCCTTTCTTGAGCAAGAGTTAATAACTAAAATTGTTACCATTAATGATCTCTTAGAACAGCAATTTAATGGCAATTCAATTTGCAATAATATTTAATCAAAAAATACCAACAACAGCAAAAGAGACAGAACTGAAAGGAAAAAAAAACAAAACAATTTGTTAGTTGAATGCACTTTCTGTTGACCATTATAGATTAGAAAATTAACTGGTTGATTAATTAATAGCAATGTAAACCTTTTATCACAATTTATAAAGCATAATAAAATCATATTATAATAATAATTAATAAACAATCAATATTAATAGTGTTGAAACAAAAGAAAGGATAATTTACAAGCAAAAAGTCTTGATAGTTCAACTAACAAATAACCAAACATGCAAGTTAGCCTATGTAAAGTTAAATCACAAGTTGTTAACTTGATGATGTTAACATTAATATTAACATTGTGTTAAAATAAACATTAACAGCACAGTGTTAATGTCCTTTAATATGCAACATTAATTAAAACGAAAAAATGGAATTAAACTCAGAATCGGTCAAAAATCCGTCAAGCAACAAGACTTCAAGTCCTCACACGTTCATATCATCTTTATCAACATTTCATCTAACTATAGCTATTTTAAATTCTGTCTTGATTAAAGTTTATTCAATGATATCATGATACAATGAGCTAAGATTATGGTATCAGTTGATATAAATAATTATTAGCATCAAAGTACATCGATGAGGTGAAAAAAGCAAGGGAAAGTTCACAGGCTGGAGTTACTGCAGGTTTTTCAGTCTGGATTAGATTAAAGTTAACAATGGTTTATACAATGTTTCATTATCAATTCTATTAATCCACTAGACAGTATTAATGCCTTTGTTATCAGGTATTATTCACAAATTGAAAAGAGACTGAAAAACTGTTATGAATAGTTTCTTATTGATGGAAAAAATGATTACCATTATTAGCGTAAGAGTAAGCATAAAAGTAAAGGTACACATAATGACAATGAACATTTTCAGACTTGATGCAAAATTTACACACTTTTAATTGTAATAACTTCGTTCTTACCTTTAAACATGGTATATTTCCGGGTTGATGAAATTTATATTGAAAAAAATTAGAAACATTGTGGCAAAAAAAGCAATTTGTGAAAAATAACACAGAGTAACACAATAGGTACAGTTGTGAGGGTGGAAAATTCAATTACATCTTCATTTGGAATGTTTTTTTTTTGAATCGGTATCATTGTGTGTAAGACATTCTTATCATTGTTCACTATTACAATTAAGAAGCAAGAATATTGGTAATAACAGTTAGTAAACAATAATTAAGAGTCAGAAGAAATAAAATTAGACGATTTAATGTTGCGGTAAATTTTTCCTTTGTTTTACAAAGGCTTTATTATGTCAAGTCGTCCGTTAGATTTTCAAAGGCTTAAATTGTCAACGCCATCTCTAATCATACTTTGTAATGAAAGTCACAGGTGGACTTGAGACCAATTTCATGTTAAGCTTTACGTAACAAATGTTTAATTAAGTTATTATTATCGAAATGAATATCGTCTGTTTCATTCAATATCATCTATTTTTTAAACAAGATCAAGTTATTATAAAATTGTGACTTCTTACCAGCCTTTGTTTGAGTGACAGTTGGAAAGATCCAGAATAAGTGTTAAGTTTTGCTGCTTTCAATCTCAATGGCCTCGTTTGATGCGCTTATGTGATTAATGTTGGATTAGCTGGTTTAAACTTAATAAATTACTCTTACTATCATGTAATTAATACTATGATGAGGTGATTATGGATTAAAGACAAAATATTCAGGAATAAAAAGCTACCATGGATATTTGGGCTCTAAAAAGGTTCTGTTTGTGTCAATAAATTGTAACAACAATCAATCAATTTTGGTATTCTTTGGATGGATGGTGTAAATATAGAGGATGGAAAACTCTCGGCATGAAATGAAACTGGTTTTGTTTAATAATTCAAGGGTTAAATAGAGAAATTGAAAGAAAAAGAAAAAGGAGAAAATTTGCTGAAAATAAACTGACAAGGAAAAGGAAAAGGAAAAGGGTAAAACGGACTGAATACTGAACATTATTCACAAGTAATTAGAGTCTCCTCTTTTAACATGATTATCATCATCTTTAACTCTTCTTTATTCATCACCATTACCATCATCATGGCCATCATCATTGTCTTGATCGTCTTCTTCTTATTTTCATCAGTATCTTGCTACTGGGCTCAAAATTACAAATCATCTGACCTGAACCCACCCACCCCTTGAGCCTTTATTTTGTTGCTAAAACAAATTATCTCCCAATGAATGTGAAACTGTTTAGCGCAAAGCCAAGATAATGCTAATAACAATTTACTGAACTGTAAAAAAGATGAACAAAAACAACAACAAGATCAACAGCAACTATAAAGATAGCAACAATAAAATCAAATTATAAGGTAATCAGGCGATTGTCACGTCTTTCAATGTATAATGAGACCTTATTCCGGAAGTTTACCTCTTCCTATCAGAGACTTGATAAGTTTCCATAAATTTCACCAACATTTTCAATCATTTAATTGCCTCTTTACTTTTTCTTTGTTTTTACTCTTAGGTTCATCCTCATCAACATCTTTAAGCTTTGACTGCTGGTGCAAACTGTTAACGGGTTACATAACAAGTGAAACTGAATTGATTACAAAGTTAACCTGTGAACTTACCCGAAAGTCCCCTGAAAGATGGTAAATTAAATTTCCGCGTGGTATCATTATTTTATTATCTGATTAATAAGCTATTAGTGAATGGTTATGATATATTGAGATGGCCATAAGATGGAAGGAAAAGCGATGAAAAAAAAATAATAAATAAACAACAGTTTAGGTCAATAAACGAGTAAACTTGAATAGTAATCATCTTTTATTTTGAGAAACTGTTTGATCAATTAATTACTGCTGTTATCCAGGTAAGAAGAAGGTGAAAAGCCAAAGAAGCTATTCTGTAATATTTATAGCCATAAGTTAATATTGTTTTACAATTTTAACAGGAAAAATTTGAATCTCTGGTAAAAGAAGAAGAAGAAAAAAAAAGAGTTGAGTTTGTATCCAAATTTTGTGAGTTGATTAACAATCACTTCTTGTTTGCTTCATTCAAATCATGTTTAAACCTTACCTTTGGTTAATTGTTTAAAATTGGCTTATAAATTAGAGCTGAGCTCGCGTTTAGCCTAATCGTTATTAATTTAACATTTCTGATGATGATTGATTTAATTGGTAAGGCAGTGCACGCAAATATTAGTGTAAAATTACTAGAAAATTGAATATAGACGATCATCATAATTAACATAATCAAAGATAATGCAACGTTAAATATTTACCTTATATTTAGCAAAGTCTGGTTTGATTAATTTAGCCAACCAACCTTGAAGCAAGATTTATAATTTGTTAGATTTATTTTGGCATTTTTGTTTCAAATCATGATACAACTGAACTTTCACTTTGTTTCAATTCAATTGTTATGGGTGAGGTTTCAGTTAAACCTTTGATTTTACCTTATTTTCTGGCTCTATTTTGTACAGCAAAATTTATTACTTTAAGTTTCAAGTAAAAGAGACCATTTTTCATTAATAAAATTAATATTAATAATGTTTCTCTTTTTTTTCTCAGTCTTTAATGGTCAACTTGCCACGTTAAGGTAGTAATGTTTACAGGTAAATGATGATAGTTGAAACAAGATGTCACATTTATCATTTAAATTGTTTTAAGGCTATTAGCTTACAATTTTACGATAAAAACGTTGTTAGATTTTTTTTTGTTACTTCAAAAAGTAAAAACTAATAACATACCTTTTCCCTGCTATTTTGGGCATCAACCTTCACAGCAATCAGTAGTCAATGTCAAGTCAGGTCTACGAACCTGTTAAATACACATAAATATATTATTATTTATTTGATTATCATCAAAGAATTGATTGAAAAAAAGGATTTCTTGAAAGTAAACAATAAAAAAATTGGTGGACAAAATGATAGGGTTTAGTCCTTGATGGATCAATAAGATCAATTGGATCGGATAACGATAAAGATATCTATGGATAGGCGGCAAGTTTATTTTGTTAATTATTATTCACCCTTAACAATATGTTAAATGATTTGCACATAGATGATGATAAGATGATATATGGCGAAGAAACAATTTAAATTATTCAAGGCAATGTACAGGTAATGATGATAGGGATAATACAAAGAGATTTGATTATCTTTAGAAGAGTATTTAATTTTGATGATTCGCATTGGGTTAGCGAAGAAAGCTTCACCATAAACCGGTAAGGAAACAAAATGAAAATGAATGGTTAACGTTGTGAAAGTGTTAATTTGTTTTGCGTTCTTATACACAAAATGTACAAACCGTCACGAACTTTGTTGTTTGCTAACCTAATTATAATAAAGATGAAAACATTAATTACAATTAATTATGAAAAGATTTATTTTAACCAGTAAAAAGAAAGTAAAAATCATGATTGTTTACCTTTTTCTTTCATTTTGTCAAGTCCAATAAGCTGTTTGCTGGGAAACCAACAAGTAAACACAATTGAAAAATTAATTAAACTTGAATGAATCGACTTTCATTGGGTTTGTTATTAATTATCCAAAAACAGAATAAATAAAAGCTATAATTCAATAGGATTTTCAAGAATCTCTAGATTATCTTGTGATTAACAAGAAAAACTGAGTTTAAGCTTCATCCATGTGTTTTCATTTTGGCTCCAATTTTCTTGTCAGACGTTTTGTCTCACTTTGGTTTGCAGTGACTTTTAGTTTTTTATTTTCAACGTTTAAATGTTAATTGTTCATTTCTAATCAATCTGTTCTTCGTGATTTAATTTGAATTTACATGTTCATTTATTAGTGTTTCCAGATTCAGGAAGAAGTGGTCTCTTTCAATCAAATTAAAATCTGATTGAAGTTAATTTGATTATATTAACCTATGGAGTTGTTGACTGTTACATGCGAAAAGCAAAGGGGAAAAAAGCCGAGTTGCCTTAAGGTTTTACATCTTTTGCTGACAGTTAAATGATTATACATTTGTAAGTTTAATTCTGGATTCTGATCAAATTGTATTAAGTGAATTAAAAAATTTCTCTTCCTAGTCTTTTCATTAACTTGTCAATCACAATCAAAATTTTATCATTCACATCTAACTGCAACATTTATACATTTGTTTTAATGTTATTAACTTGATTCTCATTTCTCTTTATGTCTTCTTCCAGCCAGACTATACACTTTCACAAACAACAGTTAATCATTGAAATTGGACTCTTGATTTGAAATCAACAATCAATTTATACCAGGTCCTGACTCTGGATGGCCTTTCTCAGGTGTTAATAATTAGCTCGTCAAAGTGAAATAGATGTATCAATGTATTTCTATCAGTATTTCTGGCAACTCAATTTGATGATTACTCTTTGATGCCAACATTACTTCAACAACATGTATTATTTTAGCCATAAATGGTAAGTAATGTAATAGACTATTATTAATAGTAATAGCAATGATTAACCTATCCAATGTTATTTTTTCTATCTCTTTCTCTCGAAGATACCAAAGGGCTTTTCATGCAATTTACTTCACCAGACTGTAAAATTCAAAGAAATACCATGTGAAAGATGTGAAAGCTTTAAATATAGTTACACAGAGAGGATACTGAATGAGAAATAAATTCGTGACTGACTGATTTCACCAAGTAAATCACTGATGGATTTTGATATCTATTCAGGGTTAAACGTCAATGATTTTTTTACAACAAACAAACCTTTATTATCATTACTATTATTATGATTATGATTATAGTTTAGCCTTTTATGTTATTTTATTTTAGATTTTCTTCAACAGCATCACATTCATGGTAAATAACTTTCTTTTGGGCGAAAAAAACTCGAAAGAAGAAAAAAAAGCGTAATGAATAAGTTAAGATGGTTAAGATTATTTTCTTACATAAAATGAAAGGCATTTCCCATTGGAAGGTTACTTTATTATTATTGTTACCATCATCATAATCATTATTTCTTGATCTTTTTTTCTCTCCAGAAGGAAATTTTCATGGAAAAATCAAAATCCATTGGAATTGGACTCATTTGTAGACATTATCTTTGTGTTTGACGTTATAACAATGGTCATTGGCAAACTGAAGGACTTTAGTTTCACTTTTTGGTTACAATTAAAACATAATTTACAATGAAAGACATTTTGCCTTACGACAAGTATGTTGATTCCCTTTCCCATTCATTGCTTTTATAACCAATTTCGGCAACATTAGATGCTCATAATTCTTAAAGGTATATTTTTCTGTATCAACTGATTATTTTGATGTCTCAAACTAGCCCTGAAATCTTGTTTGGCTCAGACACAATTACTAACCAAAATTTTCTCAGTCAATTAATATATTATTCATACAATTGTTTATTAATAAATGCGTAAATTTGCTTTTTCCAGGCTGGAAGCTGAAAGATTTTGATTGTTATCATGTTGATACGATTGGGGCTGGACAAAAAGTCATTGAGCGATGAAACATTGACACTGAATTGAATCTTTGCTGGATTAATTGGTTGGATCTTGTTTTTTCCTTCGGTTCTTCTACCTTATTCAGTTGAGATTCTTAAATATGACGAGGTTGATGGAAGTAAATACTTATTCATAAAGACATGGAAATTTATTTGGAACTATTAGCTTCCTGATTTACATAAACAGTTATTAAATACGGAATATTGGATTGATATTGCAGCTAAAGTTTAAATTGATCAAATTTGAAAGGTGATCAATCATAGAAGACAAGATCAACTGAAAGGGAAAAAATTTCTTTCTCTATCTGTTATTGTCATTAGTTTTATATCAAAAATTGCTACTTAAATTGTAGCTCTGATCAACTTTAATGAAATTCAAATTCATAGGAATGCCAAATCAAAGACAACATGGAGGCTCAGTTAGAAGGGAAGAGTTACTCGGTGAAGGATTTAAAAATGATTGCTGTTATTATCATAATTAGATTGATTGATGATATAATCATGATCTTTTACTTTCGCATTAATCTGTATCTTTGAAACAGTTATTTCAGTTATTTTGAGCAATAAATCAATGATATGTTAGATTATTTGCTCATTTTTCTCAGAATTTCAGAATTTGATTCTCTATTTAACAAGAAAACACAGAATAGTGAAATCAAACAATCAAATTTTGACGTTTTATATTCTTAAAAAATAATCAATTGGTTTAGACAAGAAATTCATCTAAATTATTTAAATTGATGAAAATTTTAATTGAATGTTATTTTAACAAAATATTAGTTCAACTTTTTTTATAATTTTCAACTTATCGGTAAGATTCTTCATATTCCTGGACATCGATCACGGAATTCTGCTGCGTTTGAACGATGAAGATCATTATTCACGAACTTAAATCCATTTCAACGTCCAATCCAATTTGACTGGCAATCCAGAGACAATTTTGATGCTATCCATGAACAAGTGAATCGTGTTAATCGAGACAATTGCAGAATAGTGGACATCAATGATCTCTTTTTACCCAATTCAACTGTTACCCATGTGCCTAATATTAAGGGGCTTGGAACAGATCCAGTCTTCCCCAATCGTACCAACTTACTTCATGTTCACAATATGGCACTAAGCCGAGCATTTTTCTACAGGTAAGTTTTATCTTTCATCACCCATTCAATTCAACTTGAATAAGTTTCAAAACTAATAAGTGTTTTCTGTATTCAGTTTCATTCTACAAAAAGCTGAAGATGATGTTGAGCCCGGCTTCATGTATTATTTCTTATCATCTATCGCTGATGTTGCTGCTAATCGCTTTATTAATGCCAGTTCTGTTTATTTTGCACCCGATCGAGCTTTTACACCATCTTATAAAGGTTTTTTCAACAAAACAATGCCTCTGTTTGCACCTCGTGCCTTCCGCGCTGATGATTTCAACGATCCATATCACCTTTCTGGAACCTCAACTCTCAATACTATTGCAGTTAGTGATTTAGGTGCCGTAAAAGTCAATTCTCAAAGTAATAATTATACTCATGAGCATTACAAAATCAACAAGTGGTATAACCTTTGGTTGCCAGATAATACCAAAAGCCATGATTCCAAACAACTTATACTGCAAAAATATTTCACGCTGATGGATTCAATGAAACCTTTACATTCCATGGTGCGCCTCATGCCTCAGATACTCCAGGTCCAGTTGCGTGGACTCAACCTTATTATGGATACGAAAGATCAAATAAATGGGTTGTTTCAGCCACATCTCCTATTGTTGACTTTAATCCAAGGCATACTGGATGGAGGCATATAGAATATGCGAGGTAAGAAATTCAACTTTTACTTGCAAAATGATTCCCTTTTATTTAAATCTTATTAATTGTTGTTTACTTCTCCTAAATTTCAGATATGTTGCTGTTTCAGTTATGGAAATAGACTTCGAAAGGCTGGATATCAACCAATGTCCAATCGGTCCAGGAAATCCACGATCCATTTTCTACGTAAAAGCCGGATAAGCTTTATCTACCTGGTAACGTTGCTTATGATAAAGAAAAACAGTTTGAAAATCAAGCTCGAATGGCTCTTCGCTTAGCAAATTTCATTTCAGCGTTTCTACAAGTTGTGGATCCAACTGTCTCTTATGCTGAATTCCGAGTTCCTGATAAATCATTAACAACTGATCAAATGATTGGAGAAGTTCTCAGTTTAGTCTCTGGTGATCTGAAACTATTGGGAGCTGGTGTCTTTTTTGATCGTAACCAATTCAACGCGAATTATACATATTTTGCTCCGTATGCTTGGCGTCCTCGTCGAGAATTGCGCGCATTTAACGTAATTGATCTCGTTGGTAAAAGATCTGCTGGACCAGGTAGTGAACCTGACTATTTGAAAAATGAAGCATTTAAATACCTCAAATTACGTTGGACCGGCATAACGGATCAGCTACAAACATATACAACGAAGATAAATATTCGTTACAATTCATCTGGATTAAACACAATTAAATTTGACCAATATCCATTGCAATATCAAGCTGCAGAATTGAATCATGGTTACTGGTCTCGACCTTATTATGACTGTAATGGTTTCCACAAGAGATGGTTGGTCACTTATAGCTCGCCATTTTTCGGCTGGAATAATTTACGCAACAAATTGGTGTTCAAAGGAGTCGTTTCTGTTCACATGGATCTCTTACAATTAGATATCAATCAATGTGACAGTTATGGTAATACAGCTAACGCATTTGAAGGGACACACAAATGTGATCGTGAATCAACTCGTTGTGTTCCAATGTTTGGCCGTAAATATGAGTCTGGAGGTTACAAATGTGAATGTAATCAAGGATATGAATATCCTTATCTGGATCTAGTAACCTATTTTGATGGTCAAAATTTAGAATCCGAATATTTGAGCGTTGAAAAGAATAAACCAAGCAGAATGGACCAATTAAGGTGTAGAATATCTGGATCGAGCTAATTATCTATCCATCATATTAATTTATTGCTTTCACTTCTTTCAATTATCTTTTTTTAAAATCCAATTTTTTTGATACCCATATGAATGTTTAAAAATTTTAGTGTTCATTTATCGTAACAGAATTCGTCCATAGACTTTAAGGTCAACATAAAGAAACTGATATTACGAGAACAATTCAACAAAAACTGCATATCGACAAGTGTAAATCCACTTTTCACACCGTTTGCCTATTGTAAATACAAAACTTACTCAATGTGAGAATCTTTTGATTTTTATGTTATTTCTTTGATTGCTCAATGCCAATTAGTGTTTGATCTATTTTGTGATAATTATTGCTAATTTTGATCAGCACACTTCTCTTGAATCTCCTTAATATAACATTTATCACGGAATTCGAGTTATCCATATTTTCATAAACTTAAAATAACCTTTCAATATGTCAATAGTTTTCATGTTTCTCAAGAAGATTTGAATTACGATTGAAACTTTCCAAACAATAAAATTTTGACGTTTTATATTCTTAAAAAATAATCAATTGGTTTAGACAAGAAATTCAGCTAAATTATTTAAATTGATGAAAATTTTAATTGAATGTTATTTTAACAAAATATTAGTTCAACTTTTTTTTATAATTTTCAACTTATCGGTAAGATTCTTCATATTCCTGGACATTGATCACGGAATTCTGCTGCGTTTAAACGATGAAGATCATTATTCACGGACTTAAATCCATTTCAACGTCCAATCCACTTGCGTTATTTTCGGTTTCATTCTCTGACAATGAACGTTCAAGATCATTATCATCTAATAACTGGTCGTCTGTAGAAGACTCCTCGTTAAGGTTACTGCTAGCTAAATATTTTTTCATATAAGCTTCACTCTCGTAAATGGGCAATTCATCTGAAAGAAAACAATCAAAGCGATCAGATATTGAAAACTCTTAACAACTTACAGTTTTCTTACCATCTAACAAAGATATTTCAGTAGATAAATGCTCCATACATTTATCCAACATAGTTTTGGCACACTGGTCGTCTCTTTTCAATGCTAATGCCTGGAAATAAACAATGTAAGAAATTAGAAAGATAAAAGCTAGATATTGTATTATAAGAACTTACCTTATGGAAATAGTTTACCGCATTACGATATTGCTTCATCCAAGCATAAACAAATCCAATTGCTGAGTATGTTGATGGATTTAACGGTGACAAAACTAGAGCTTGTTTATGATACTCTAATGACTCTTCATATTTCCTGATAAAAAAATGAAAAAGTATTAGCTTATTGTTAGTCAAAAAGAGATTTAAATATTTGAAATTACTTTAATTTTCGCAAAACATGTCCAATATTATTTATAAGAGGCTCCCATTTCTCTGGCAAGCAAGTGGCATCTTGTTTATCTCTGATTAAATTTAAAGCTGATGTAAAATGTTTGTAAGCTGTGGTGTATCTGAAATGAAAGGAGATGCATGAATTAAATCAATTGAAGTAAGAAATGATAGCTATTAACTTATGAATTGAAAAATATAAAAATGAAATTTACTCTTGTATTTGGTAAGAAATTACTCCTAACTCATGTAAAACAAAAGGATCGTTTGGAGCAATTGCTAAGGCTTGTTGGAAAAACTTCTCTGCCAATTTATTATTATCAGTTAGTCCGTATTCGAGTCCAATGTACAACAAGGGAAGATGACAACCTTTCATCAAGTGAGAAGCTTTAAAATAAGCAGCCATGGCTTGGTCATGTTCACTTTCAATTGCAAAAGAGTGTCCATAAAGCAACCAGGCAGGACCAAAGACATTATCCAAAGTCGTTGCTTTGCTTAAAAATCTTCTAGCAGCATCCATTTTATTTATCATTAAATAATAACATCCTACGGCGTACCAAGAAGTCTAGAGTAAATCAAGAGTTTTAATTGATTTTAGAAAAAAGATAACTGGCAAAATAATCAGATTGTTAAAACTTACGGCACTTTCTGGGTATAAGTCAACTAATTTATGACCGAGATCGAATAAAACTAGAAGGCAAAGAAAATTTAAATTAATTTAAATTAAAACAAATTTTAAAATCAGATCTAGAATAACTGTTCGACATACGATTTGTTTTTTGAAGCTCCATTAGACATGATATATGGATTGGGAGGCATTGAGTATGATAAATGTCGTCTTTGAGAACTCTGAAAAAAATAAGCAAGAAAACGTGAATATAACGAAAAATTAAGTAAACAAATTTCTTTACTTATTTGTGAGCTGAATACATTGGTGGAAATCACAATTGTAATAGTGCCTCTCTGCTAACGAAGTTAAAATGTCCACATTATCTGACAAGAAGTTGGAAAAATCAACAGGTATCTTGAGCTCATCGGGCTTTGCGTACTACAATAAAAATTTAGAATTAAAAGGAATCAACATATCAAAAATTATATTTACCTTTTTCAATGAGGATTGATACAAAAATTTGATTAATCGCGCCTCATCTTTATCACATTGATTTTCAAATCTGATTGAATTCAGAAGATCTTCTTCTGTTAGATGCAAAAAGAAAAATCAAATAATTTTAAGTAAAATCTGAGATATCAGTTAATTCATCCAGGATTACCTTCTTGTTTATTAAGCATTTGATGCTGAACTAAGGCCTCTAAAGCCTCGTAACAATAAGCATCAAGGAGAAGTGCTTTTTTGAACCAATCAACGGCCTCGCTACGATTATCTAATGCTTCATAAATATGTCCTTTCAACAGGCAAACAGAGCTTTCTAGTTGCTGATAAACAAATGAAAAATAGATTAGAAAGAAACCAAATGCGTACGAATAGTCATAACAGCTGACAGTTTTAAAACTAATACCCTGTTCTCCTCACAAGTTTCCAATTCAAATTCCATTTTCTTGAGTGTACCATAATTTTCTCCAACATCTAAAATCTCGAAAGCTTCTTTGTACTCTTCAGCGGCATACTGACGAAAGTAAAAATATTGAAAAGTAAAATCATTGAAGAGAAAAGCTCAACTTGAAAACAGTAAGAAGGTAGCAACTTACATGTGATTTAGCAGCCAAATACCGGCATGCCAGATCAACCTCGTGAAAATGGCGTGATTTAATACAATGTGAAGCTCTGTGGTACTCCTTAAGATGATACAGGCATTTGGCTTGCTTGTAAACATCAGTTTTGTCATGATTGGGATAGGAGAGTATTTTATTTGACCAATATAAGGCCGTCTTGTATTCACCAATATCCATCATTTTAATCACAATAGATCGCAGTTTTTCAAGAAGATTTTCACTGAAGGTAGTATTGATTTTACCAGAATCAGCCATTTTTAACGAATCTTGATCAATAGCTAAATAAATAGAAGCACAATAAGTCAATTATGAAGAATAAAAATGACACTTAATAATGTGAAAAGTAACTTAAAACCGTATCAAAAAATAATTCAAGATGCATTTACATCATTTGTTTTGGTAAGATTATTCAAGTTGGCGCCAGAAAAGCAAAGTCTAACTCCAATAGATGGCACCAAGTAAACTTTTTATTCATTTTTATGAGACGTTCCCTGTTCCGGAAGAGGAAGAAAGGTGGCACCACATAAAAAAAGATCGTCATAGAGTTGAGCTTATTGGCTGCCATTTTAGTATTAATAACCGCCATCTTTTTCTTGGTTATAGCGACCTTTAATCATCACCTTTCATTTGTTTTTAAATTGTGATTGTGTATTTAATTTAAATCTATTTCTTACATTTAGTTATATTTAGTGAAAGTAGTGTTTCATCAATTCTCATATTATCATGCCTGGAACCACTGAAAATGAACAACAACAGATTCAGCAGCAGCAGCAACAGCAACAACAACAACAACAAGGTGAAGAATCAAATGATGTAAAACCTAATATTGATACTGAGAACTCAAATAATGCTACCACTTCTGATAATCAACAACAAGGAGATCAACAAGGTGATCAACAAGACAATGGTAATGGAGAGAAAGCTACAAATGAAGAACCTGAACAATTCAGGAAACTTTTTATTGGGGGTTTAGATTATAAAACAACTGAAGACACACTTAGGGCCCATTTTGCACAATGGGGTGAAATAGTCGATTGTGTGGTGATGCGTGATCCACAAACCAAAAGATCTCGTGGATTCGGATTCATCACATATAGTAAATCTACTATGGTAGACGCGGCTCAATCAGCAAGACCTCATAAAGTTGATGGCCGTGAAGTTGAACCAAAACGAGCTGTTCCTCGTGAGGTAAGTTACATATCAATTATTTGGTTACTTTTTTTATTGTACATTTTATTTAATTCAGAAAGTAGTAGTGATGGTTTTCCAATTTTCTTTTCATTTCATTCGCCGTACACGTTAGGAGTCAGGCAAGCCAGAATCACAAGCAACAGTGAAAAAAGTGTTTTTAGGAGGCCTCAAAGAAGATGTCGAAGAAGAAGATCTTAGAGATTATTTCAAAGATTTCGGTAATATTGTCAATGTAAATGTTGTCACTGAAAAAGAAACTGGAAAGAAACGCGGTTTCGCTTTTGTAGAGTTTGATGACTATGATCCTGTAGACAAGATAGTCTTGAAAAAGCATCATGTCATTAAGGGAAGAAAAACTGAAGTTAAGAAAGCTTTAGCTAAACAAGAAATGGATAATTTGAAACGTAAGGCCGAAGCTCGTCATATGCCTGCAGGTAGAGGAGGTCCTGATTCTCGTAATGCTCCTGTTTGGGAATCTGGTCCCTATAACAGTGGGTTTGGCGGCGGTTACGGTAATCAGGGAGGATGTAAGTTAATTTTTGAAAATCAGTTATCAGTCAAAATTGTTGCATTTAAATAAGCATCTTTAGCAACTTTGAATTAGAGCGCATGATCTTATGATCGAAGCTTCGCCTATTCTAGAACAATTCAGTTAATTTAAAATTTCATATTTCAGACGGTGGTTCTTATGGGGGAGGCTATGGCCAAGGTTATGGCCAAGGGTATGGTAATCAAGGATGGAATCAGGGTAGTGGATACGGTAAGTTTCATTTTATACAACCTTTTCAAATGTTCTGAGTCACGAAACATTTATTAATGATGAAATATTTTCAGGTGCCGGTGGTGCTGGATGGTCTAGTGATTATCCTGGCGGCTACGGTGGCGGCGGTGGAGGCTATGGTAGCGGCGGAAGCGGTGGACCTGTTCGTGGCGGTGGCTATGCGCATAGAGCGACCGGACCGTACGGAGGTATTAAATCTAACAAAAAAACATTCAAAAAAAGTCACTATGGCTCCAGAAATGAGCATTAAAGGCAGATGTTCAGATAAAAATCAGATCATGGTCAGATATTCAGATTGGATTGAACATAATTAGAATGCGAAACCCACCGATTGTCTATTCAATTATAAGCTTACCGGAAATTAATTTTCAACAATTTATCATTTCAAAAGTTGATTAGTATAACGATTATCCGGACATTAACTTGAATATTTTAATAATTTACACATCAAATGACGGATTGAAATACATAATGTAAATGAGCCGAATCATTTGATAACATACATTTTAAAATTAATGACAGTCAATAATGAACAGAGCAATTTAAAACAATGCTAATCACCATGACAATGATAATCATCCAGGGAATTAATACATGCATAAATGTATATGATAATTTTAGGGACTGAATTTTGTATGTGTCTCTACAGTCTATTTGAACATTAATTTAATGTTCATTGTCGATTGACTAAAACAACTCAAACCAGGAGATTGTCTCTTTGTAACTCCTTCATAAGCCAATCTACTAATCAACCAGTTAGTTAATTTACTTAATTGATTGGATTGATCAATAATGTCCCAATACTGAATTAAATTGACTAATATTTGCATAAAAACTGCTAGCAAATCCCCATACATTTTAAATTATAAATTTACAAATAACTATTCGATTGAAAAAGATGAAAGATTGACACTGGAAGTGAAATAAACCCTTTTATACAAAATAGCTGGTAAATCAATCATCTATTCATAGCAATCATTATCTGTGTTAAATATCAAATAAATTGATCCATTTATAGAATCATTCGGTATAATCAATCGCTTTCCTTCAAATTGTAATTGATTAACTAGTAGCTTTCATCTTTTTTACCCGTTTTTCAAGTTTGATAAGTCAACTATCGATTCAAAGCCCAATAATTTACGTGTACATTCACATCTGAGTTTTCATCCTCTACATGCCATTAATTTAATGTTCATTGTCGATTGACTAAAATCAACTCAAACCAGGAGATCGTCTCTTTGTAAATCCTTCATAAGCCAATCTACTAATCAACCAGTTAGTTGTAAAAAGCTGTCCGATTAATAAGCGAAAATAAATAAATTAGATTGAAATTTGATTGTAAAATGGTTTCGATTATGGCAGCAAGAGAAAAGTCAATGAATGTTAAACATGAACCATACAATCATATTTAAACCTCCAAGGACAGGATAAAGGATGGCGTAGGTTAGTCACATAATTAATATAAAATTGAATTTCTTTTAATCGATTCAACAAATTTCTCATGAAAAGTGCAGATCAAGAAGAAGACAACTTATTATTCTCATCATCATTCAACTATTAAACTATTGCTGCTACCTTATTGTAAAATATTGATCCAACTTAATCATTATATTAACTAAACATTCCAGATTATCTTAATTAGCTCTCTAATCAATTTCTAACCCATTTCTACCCATTTCTACTCACAGGTTGACTTTAACCCAAATTTTCAATGTAAAACCTTAAATTTATCACAGTTACAATTACCATTGTATTTTGCAGATTAGGTCAATCCACATCATTTGTATTATTAAATTTATGGTAACATTTTTTTGTCATTTCAGCCATGATTAATGTCATTGAGCCGTTCGTAGCGCATGGCCAATGATTAATGCTTCGCTTTTTTTTCTATACAAGATTAGTTTATCTGTTATTTTCATCAGGCGGCTGAACAGGAAAATTCATATGAAGAAGATTTTGAAAAGGGACATTCTTGAGTAGCTTGGAAAGCGACCAATAGATGGCAATAAAAATGAGATTTCATGGTAATGTAATGTAATCATTTAATAGTTTCACAATATTTTGATTTATTTTTCGCTTATTATAACAAATTGTGCATTGTTGAGTGTTGATTTAATTAGATTGTTCATTGTTTTACGCAATTGCTAGTCTGCAAGAGAACAATTCAAATCCATTTGATTACAATGTTTATGAAATATAGATTGATAAGCCTGACTGATTTGTTTCTATTATATCTAAAGGTTCATCCGGATAATCGCAATATAAATGATGTTATCAATGTTTGCTGACAATGTTCCGATAATGATAAATGTCTGTAACTGGAGATGAAGCTGGGAAAATTCACATGTTCAAATCCAATGGTAAGTAGCTAATTAAAGCTTTAAGATTAATTTTCAAAGCAAGTTGCATTTTGAACGATTATTTACTTGTTTATTACTTTATTTTCAGTCAGCTTTTTACGTGAGGAAACACGACTCAGCTGAAGCAGATTTTATTTCACAAGGCTTTGCATTGGTTGCTTCCAATTTTGATGGCCCATTATTTGTTTGGAATCTATACGATCATCGAAGATATGACCTTTTCCACTAGTCATATTTTGTCGGAGATCAAAACTTACGAGATTTCAATCAACCCATCGGATTTGATGCTACACTATACTGGGTTCAACTTCAAACAACGTGCCTTAACAAGATGAAATGATTTAATCAATTTAAATCTTGCACCTTCATGGAACTTTTGATTTATTCCTGTAAACAAATGTAACAATACCATTGCATGTATTTCCGTAATTATATCGCAATAGTAATTGTTTCACCAGTCTATCGATCCATTGTGATGTATTTTCTTACTAGTCTTCCTTTTCCATCATATGTTTAACTTAACAGTTGTTATTTTTAAAATTTTTATCGATTGTTAAAAAATTAAAGTAAACCATTGTTTATTACCAAGCTGTTTGATTAATTCAAAATTATGCGTAAATCTTCAAATCAGTAAATTATCCCAAGGTTAAAAAGATTCAACATTTATCCAATACCTTTAGCTTGGTAATCAAGTTAAATATTTGTCAAAATTATCCATTACGATATAATTGTGTGACAAAAAGAGAGATCAACAAATCTCTTTGATTCTGAATCAATGAACAGAGCTATCTATAGAGTAGGAATGAGAGTAACAAGAAAATATTTATATTTAAGTGAAATGACTTCTGTTTCAAATTCATTTGAAAATATGTCAAAGACAATTCTTGCGATCTTCCTGAAATCAAAGGACAATTAGAGACAATTAAAAATGAAGGCAATAATCAGAAGAACAAAAAATTTCGTGAACGACAGGATTCGAACCTGTGCGGGAAAATCCCAATGGATTTCTAGTCCATCGCCTTAACCACTCGGCCACGTCCACGCGACAAGGTAATTATCAATTAATGTTTTTTTTAAATTTTAATTTCGTCTGATTTACAGTTAAACTTCGTTTTTTTCATATTTTGGTTATGTAAAGTGCAAGAAAAGATCAAGAGATGGCGTAATAAAAAACTGATTGATAGTAAAAAAAATTGGTTAAAAACCAGCATTTCTCAAGTAATTTTTCATTTTTTCAGAACTCGTTTCTCCTCAGATTTAGCTATTTCCCAAACGTCTTTCAAATACTCGACTCTTAATTGATTGAATTGATCAATATTGTTCCAATACTGAATTAAATTGACTAATATTTGTATAAAAATTGCTACCAAATCCCCAAACATTTTAAATTCAAATTTCCGAATAATTATTCATTAAGACAAGAGGAAAGATTGTCACTGGCAGTGAGATGAACCTTTTTTTATACAGAGTAGCTGGTAAATCAATCATCTATTCATAGCAATCATTATCTGTGTTAAAACAAATAAATTGATCCATTTATAATATCATTTGGCATAATCAATCGCTTTCCTTCAAATGTAATTGATTAACTTAGTAGTTAGTAGCTTTCATCTTTTTAACCGTTTTTCAAGTTTGATAAGTCAACTATCGATTCAAAACCTAAATAACGTGAACATTCACTTCTCAGTTTTCATCCTTTACACGCCAGATTCATGGATGCTGATCAATTCACAATAATTCTTGTAGATGAAATCAAACTTGACTGAAAATTTTAATAATTTACACATCTAATGAAGGATTGAAATACATAATGTAAATGAACCGAATCATTTGATAACATACATTTTAAAATTAATGACAGTCAATAATGAACAGAGCAATTTAAAACAATGCTAATCACCATGACAATGATAATCATCCAGGGAATTATATGTATAAATGTATCTGATAATTTTTGGACTGAATTTTGTATGTGTCTCTACAGTCTATTTGAACATTAATTTAATGTTCATTGTCTAGCGACTAAAACAATTCAAACCAGGATAGTTTCTTGTAACTCCTTCATGTGCCAATCTACTAATCAACCAGTTAGTTGAAGAAAACTGTCTGAAAATAAATGAATTAGATTGAATTTTGATAGTGAAATGGTTAACCTTTTTAGCAGCAAGATATACAATATGTAAGTCAATGAATGTTAAACATGGAAAGCAAAAGCTGGTTGAAACTTACAAATATATTAATAATAATGATTATAATGAAATAATAATCTAAACCTCCAAGGACAGGATAAAGGATGGCGTAGGTTAATCACATAATAAAATAATATAAAATTGAATTTCATTTAATCGATCCAATAAATTTCACATGAAAAGTGCAGATCAAGAAGAAGCAAATGACAACTATTATTATTTTCATCATCATTCAACTATTAAACTATTATTGCTGCATTATTGTAAAATATTGATCCAACTTAATCATTATTTTAACTAAACATTCCAGATTATCTTAATTAGGCTTCTAACCCATTTCATACCCACAGCCCAAAAAGGTATCTTGGCCTAACTGAAGGTTGACTTTTAACCCAAATTTTCAATGTAAAACCAAAATTTATCACAGTTACAATTACCATTGTATTTTGTAGATTAGGTTAATTTACACTTTGTATTAGCTTCATGATTAAATTAAAAGCTGAAGCTAACAATAACCAAGAGTGTTAACTTGGAGTTACCTTTCAAATGTAAACAAGTCTGGTCTATCAAATATCTGGTTAATCGTAATTTAAATCAATCCGTTCAAATTTCTCATGTTTTATGCTTTATTAAAATCTTTTTTTGTAAGGACAATCAAGGTAATAAATTGAGCTTCTATTGATTGTTATTTGATCGATGTATTGCATCGAAGTCTATTTTATTTTTCGTCTTCTCTTCAACTGCCATCTCTGTTGTATTATTTTTCATAATTCACTTTCTCACTTTGTATTGAGTATCTAATCAAGAAAGGAAGCTTTAATTGTGATTGTCTCATGGAGTTCCCTTTAAAACATTGTATTATAATTAACAGCTTGATTAATTTTTGTGAACATCAGACAAAAGTAGTTCCCATAAGAAATGGTTATCAGATTATTTCAGATGTAGAGGGAAACTCACATGGAAACATTATGATGGTAATGATGTTCAGCTTGTTCAGTTTTGATAATTGTTTAACAGTGTAATCCATTAAATTGACCGATTTGCTCTGATAATTGTTCATTGTACTTACTGATTCAACTCATAATAAACCAGAGCACAAAAAAATCTCACTCATCCTGAGGTTCAATGGTAACCTATCATTCATTGTATTGACCACTGTTGACAACTTTTCAACTCTACTTTTCCACTCAATAGCAACCAACTTATTGCTGCTGTTAACTCACAGTTATCTCATAATGAACATCAATCCTTCAATTTTCAATTTATTTAAAGACTTACAGTTGATTAATCAGCTGATTGTTATCCCATTCACTTGGTTGTACAGTTCCATAGACGCATTGAACGGTCAAATTTTTCAATATACTTTTTTGATTTGTAAAGTAAATTTAAAATCTATACTTTAATTTGTTTACTGTGATCAGATTAAATAATTTGTGTTCATGTGTTAATCTTCAAATTAAAGACATTTAGTGAAAATGTGATAAAGTGAATTTAAAATTGGCTCTCTTACGCAAAGACAAATCAAAAACTGTTAGAGAAAAGGCCGCGTAATTTACTCTTTCTTTTGGCTTTGTTTGTCTGTTGGTGTTTCTTCATTTCATTTCAATTGTTTACAATTGTGTTTATAATTAGCAAATGCAGGATTCACAGAATCAACCATTGCGACCATTAAATACTAACCATATTGGTAATACCAAGGATAAATTGTTTGACCTTACAGCTCCTGGATCTAAAGCTTTAAAAGCAGCGTCTGAACATCGTGCAAAGATTGTTACTTTTTATATCAATGGAGAACCCTTTAGAGCCGGTATCCGAGTTTCAATAGTTCCTGGTAAAGATTTTCACAGTTTAACATCTCTCTATGACTACCTCAATGGAAAAAGCCAGGTTACCTTTGGTGTTCGCTATATTTTCACGACAACCGGTAAACGGGTTACCTCTATTGATGACTTGGAATCTGGTTCATCGTATGTTATCTCTAATAACAATAGATTTCAAGTTATGCCTTATGGTAAAACAGATAAACCTAAAGGAGGTGATACTGGTTATGGTGGACAAAACAATGGCCTTGCTCCGATAGAGGGTAAAAGTGTTTCATCGACGCTTCCCTTTGCGACTTTACCCGCTGTTTTGGGTCATTCACCTCGAAGTCAATCATTAAACTCAAAGGAGGGTAAAATAGTGACCATAGTTAACCGTAAAGATCCAACATTACGAACCCGAGTGTTTCTCAATCTTCGTAGTCAACGAACCTTTGAACTGGTAATCAAGGATCTTGGGCAAGCAGTAATGGTTAAAGATGCCAGACGATTGTATACAAGTGATGGTGAAGAGGTAAGCAATAATTTATCATATTTTTTGCCTAACTTATCATTTTAAAACTTTATTAACATTAGCCAATAATCATCTTTTCAGCCGTACCTTTCTTGATACTTTAAACAAATGGACAATAGCATTTCGACATAGCAACAAACTATCAATTTCTTGACCAAGTTATGGATTTCATTGCTAACATAATGAATGTTGGCGTATTATTTGTCATGTGAAATTTGTCACAAAAAATATCTTCAAGCTAAACCTTTCTTATCTAGATTAAAATGAATGTTGAATGGAAGTATCGATTTTAACAGTAATCAATATCTTCCTTTAGTTAATTTGTCAATTCAAGAATGAGAAAAAAAACAAAATTTTTACACCATGAAATGATCATATCAGTGATTATCTTGAGACTTTTTTTCATTCAATTTTTCTCTGTCTATTTTACCTTTACTGGCATTACTGAAATACAATGTAATCGGTTTCAATGGATTGATGTTGATAGTTAATCAGCTGATTAATGACAAATGACTGTGTATACACTCAGAAATTGGGCAAAAATAATTTCCGTTTCAAACTTGTCTTTGTATTAGTGATTTGTTTCGCATTGAAAGATTGATAATGGTCATTTTGCCGAATCTATCAACAATCAAATTATCAACTTATTAGTTAAGCAGCCAATACTGTAAATCGTATCGCCATAACCTGGACGATGGTCAACATTTTTCATTTTACTTGAGCTTAGTCAATAAAATGATTCAAACGATAGTTATTGTGTAGCATATAAAATAATCAATAAATATTTCAGCTCACCAAGAGTTTGTTATTTGATTTATGGGACAAGTTAAAATTTGAATCAAGCACTTTAATGATGTACTGATCGATAATGAACAAGTCAACATTAAATCATTTTGTTAGGTATCAAATGGTCTGTGAAATTCAGTTAATTTTTAATGATTCCAATTTTTTTATACTTTATCTGGTTTTTCATTGTCCTTGCTACCCTTAATATTAATTAAGCCTAAGTATTAATAAAAACAGTAGATTAATCATTAAAATATTGATAAACAAATGATTTTCTCATTTCTTTTTCTTTTGTCTTTCAACAGATTCGGAGTATCTCCCAGCTTCGACGACAGTTAAGTGATTTTACAATATTTTATATTGAAAGTGCCAAAAATCGATCAAATATAAAGCCATCATTTATTCATAAACAACGATCCAACTCACTGGAATCAATCAATTTACAAGGTTTCAAGGATGATGAACCAGAAGCAATTGAAACTCATCGAAATCAAGATATTTCCACTGATTATCAGTTTAAATATCCAGTAACCTCTCTAACATCTTCCGAGCAATTTAATCCAACAGGTAAACACATGAATTGAAACCATTAATCATCCAAATCAACCCAGTATTAGATTTGGTTTGGAATGAGAGATCCAGAGAAATATTTAAGTTGATTGGAAAAACAGAGTTTGAATGAAAAAGATGATTTATCATTTACAGAATCAATTTAATAATTCAATATTTAGTTCTCATAGTTTCAGAAATATTGAAAAAGAAACAGTAAATCATATAACATTAACATCTCATTTTACTCATTAGTGATCTAATTTTTGTTTTTATTATTTACAACTAGAAACTGAAACTGCTACTAAACTATGGACTCCAAATGATAATGATTTTAAATCAATGGAAAATCGATGGTCAAACCAAGAGCCCAAACCAGAAGAGGTGACAGTCAAAACAATTGCTACCCAAACATCACCAAAACTACGTCAACCAAGGCTTCGTGTTAAACGTAAATTAGGTCCAAGCAAAATAGGCAAGCCTATGTTAGTTGATAAATCAACTGAAAATTCAGTTAAATCTGAAACTGAAAGTGCCGTTGAGGTTGTAAAAAAACCAAATAGCCAACCAAATGAATCTAAAGCGGAAAAGAGTAAAAAGCAAGACAAGTTATTTACCAGACCAAATAAATCGGGTAAACAATCAAATCAAAATACGACCAAAAGTGCAACCAATGACAGCAGTAAACTGAATCAATTGACTCATCACGATACCAAGCGACAATCAACTCGTTCATCGGCTAAATCAGGAAATAGTGTTGAACCAGTTATATTTGTGCCTATTAGTGTTGATGATCCTGCAATTGGTGGTGAAAAGACAAATGGGTTTGACGGCGAGAACAGAGATGATCTGAAAAATAATCAGATTACCAAGGAGAATGGAAAAATGTCAATGATGAAGGAAAATGCTGGAAATGAATCTGCAAAGGCAAAAGATTACAATAGTTTGAGCGACGAAGAAAGAGTTAAATTGTTCTCAGATTTAATCAAAGATAAAATTAAATTGAAAATTGAGAATCGTCGAAAGGAGAAGAAATCAAGTGAACATCGATCTGGAACATCAACATCATTTGATCGTGGTTCATTGGCGTCGTTTGGTGATGCAGATAGACTTTCAGTGCTTGAAAAGATTGCTCATGAAGATTACATGGATGATCACTTGTCATTAGCATCTAAAAGTCCAGCGCAACCAATTGACCAGGAAAATCTATTCAAGGGAATCAATGTTCCAGATAAAAATTTTCAACTCTCTTGGATGTATCCTTTTCATATTTGCATTCATGAAAACTTAATTAAGCCTAACTGCATGCCTTGTTTAATATAATTTATATAGAGTCTAAATTATCATTAGTTGTCACACAATTGCTTCTAAGAAGCTAAATTTAGTTGTAAGTTTTAATCTATCAATTAGTTTTACATGTTGAGTCCAGGTTTACCTGTTAATAAATCAACTCTCTTTCCAATTTGAGATGTTGATGATTAACCCTACTGGTTACTTATGATAACCAGATAATTATAATAATTATCTTGAAAATCCAATTCCCTTTATGATTTTATAGAAGAACACAGTTTCACAGGTTTCTGACCTTTCAACAATTCTGAACCTGAATATAGTCAAGAAATGCAGGACTTCACTGGACCATTGCAAATGAAAAACAAAACATTATCAATTTAATTCTACATTTTTCTTTCTCTAGATAATATTTCATTAATAATTGAGAGTAATCTATGCATGAATCTATTATAATTAAACTCTTGCTGAAACAATGGTCTGACCAGTTCATTCACTTTTTGGTCTAAACAAGTGGACATTTATTCTGGACCCATTAAAAGTTCACCCAAAGGATAATCTGTTGAACAATTTACCCAAAACAGACTAATTAGTTCAAAGCGAGGTCAACAAAATTCAAATGGCTAATTCATTTAAAAGCCCCTAGTTAACCCAATTAACTGCATCTTTAGGCCTAATATTTACATTTAGGTTCAATACCAATTATCTTACTTAATTCCTTAACTTGAATTGGTTAAATTGTTTGATTTACACAGTTATGGCTACAAAGGAAACCACAAATCGGAAAATAATTTAATAATTTTGGATTCAGGTGAATTGGTCTTTTTTGTCGCAGCCATTGTTGTCCTATGGAATCCTCAGAATCAAACTCAACGTCATTACAAGGAACATATTTCTGACATTCAATGGTAAGATGTTTACTGTGATTAGAATCAGCAAGAAATCTATATTTAATACTTATTAACACACAATTGTCATTGTTCACTTTTATTGATAATCCAATAGTATGGCTTTGAATGAGCAAGATAAATTCATTGCAACTGCTCATGAAAATGTACTTAGTAATGGTTCATTGTTTTCGGTGAGTGATTGAACTTTATTATTACACAACTGGTCCATTACCTGTGAATAATATTTACATACAATTTAACAATTTGTCTCGTTTTCTTGTACTTTCCATAGAGCTCTGAAATACGTGTTTGGGACTCTTCAAATTTAATTACTTCAGCGGTTTACGACAATCTATCTCCATCCACTTCTCTCATTTCAATTTCATTTACAAATCTGGTAAGATTTTGGGTTCATTTTGATTATTAATATTATTAAAAACATTATAGTGTTTGTTAGTGTTACGATTGAAAACAGGTTAAACATAAATCAATAATCATTAATGTCAGTTTAATATACTTTTTGTACTTGAATTTATTTTACAATAATCTTGAAACACTTGTTTTAAACCATTTGTTGTAAAAAATATCATCTAATGAATGATAGATGATAAAAGTCTAGAATCACAATTTTAAAGCTTGGAAATCGTTTACAAATTTTCATTATTAATTTCCATGATATTTGGTGCATTCTTTTATTTTGAATTGAGTATTATACTAATGAATTTTTTATTCAACATTCGATTTTCAATTCTGATTGATGCGATGTCTGTTTCATCTGATTTACAGGGCTTCCTATTGATACTATGCTATAAAGAAAACGTCTCATTGATTGTCTGGGACTGGAAAAATAATCAAGAAATCGCTACAATCAATGTAAGATTTAAACACCCTTTTGACTTTTGATTATTATTATCATGTTATCATGTTATTTTCATTATTTTTTGTTTCCACTCTAAGGCTAAGGCTAAACTATCCAAGGATGTAAAGCTGATTGGAGCCAAACCACTTCCTCAAGGTAGCAACATTATTACATATGGACATAGACATTTAACTTTTTGGCAATTAGTTGGTTCCAAGTATAACCCAATAAATTTAATTAAACCAGTTGAGTACCTGTTCTACTTAATCTGTCACTTCTGCATCAATCTTTAGCTAATACAGTTTAATTTCTGGTAACATTGTAGAAATCAAAAGAGCCGATACTTTTCACATGCATCGATTTTTTATCAAATGGCGACTTTTTAACTGGCACAGCTGATGGTTATTTCACAATTTGGTCTCAAAATCCTGAAACTGGTCTAGTCTTCCGTGTAACCGATTTGAAAGGACATGAGGTTTGTGTCGTTTCGCGATTCAACATAACCATGTCTTGATAAATGAACTTAAACTTTCAACTCTTCAATTACAGGCTTCAATAGAATGTATAAAATATCTTTCCAATAACGTTTTAGTCTCGACTGATTCAAATGGCCATTGCATATCCTGGGATATCGGTGACTTAGCCTTTAAACATTTAAACACAATCATGGTAACTATGGTTGAATTGAAGAAAGATAAGGAATTCAAAGCTTCTCATCAATTTTTAATTTTGTTTCCAATCAGGTACCACAAAATGCTGGAGGAATAACTTCACTTTGTTTACCGATAAACACTGACGGCAATCCAAATTTCAACGTTTACATAGGCACTCGAGGTAATTGCATTGCTCATGGATCAGTGGTGAGTGGGAAGGAGTTTGATGTTTTGCTTGAGGTTTGTAATCGATATCATTTGTACATAAATACATAAATGTATAAGTATTTCGTTGTCTATTAACGGTTTCAAATCAATAATCTTAACAGGGACATTCTGGTGGGCTACGAGGCATTACTTCACTGTCGAGAGACACATCTTTTTTCAGCTGTGGCTTGGATTCAAAGGTTTGTCGATGGGGTAACAAAAAATTGGCCTGGAAAACATTGTTAGACGTAAGTCAAATCACTGACAAAATCTGGAAACACAATTTAAATGTTGATGTTTATTTCCATTGATGTGATGCTCTCAAGATGGGAAATGATTGATTTCACTAATATCTATCATTTTATTTCGATTGCTCCGCTTTGTATGTTGATACATCCAGGTACAGTTATTATCAATTGCTGTTCATCCATTATGTCAAGCACTTGCTATTGGTGGAGTGAATGGAGTAATACAGATACTTGAAGTAGAATCCGGTAGTTTAGCAGCTCAGTTGAATGTTTGCAAGGCTCCAATTGTTTGTTTAGCTTATTCACCGAATGGAAATTTTCTAGCTGCTGGAGCTCATGATGGTGTAATGTATCTTTTGCCCGTATTTGATGATGGTTTTGTCTATGAAAAAGTATCCGTTCTCAAGGTAAGCTACATTAATTGTATCTCCACTAAATTGATTCATTTAACACTTGCAAAATTTTCATTGTCCATTGTAGGGACCACATCCAATCCTGAGTCTTCAATGGTCAGTAGACAATTGTTTTCTACTAACCTCAGTCAATGACAACAACTACCAAGAACTGATCATATGTAAGTAATGTCAACATTGATTTTGGAATCAAATCCTTAGCAGCAAATTTGACTAACTTTTTCTTTAAATCTATCAACTTACCTTACATTTTACAGGGGATCTTCCCAATTTCAGGTATCTCACCGGCATTTCTTCATCTTCAGAAAATCTTAAATGGCACGATGCAACCTGTTCCGGAGGTGAAGATGTTAGAGGTACGTTAACCATATAATTTTATATTAAACAATGTAAACACAAAATGTTCAGATTTGAACAAAATTTTAATTACAGTAGTTACACAAAATAAAAAAAACAAAACACATTTATTTCAAATTAAAAAACGATCAGAGAAAAGTTGAAAATTGATTAGAATCAAAAGCAACCACTAGATGTCACAATCAAGATGTCGTAAACCAAAGAGTAATCTTAATCGTTAGTCGTAAACTCTAATAGTTTAACTATTTGTGCTTCATTTAGCAAAACAAGTCGAGAAACGTTTAATTATCGGAATCTTTTGATTTGGAATTTAAAACTGTTCTTTAGCTAAATGGCCGATTGAGTGATGGCCCCATTTAGCGTTTAGCGTTCCATTTTGAAATATTTCCTATTATTTTTTAGCAACAACTACAAACTATACTAACTCTTGCTTTTATTTCATCAAAAGGTATTTGGGATAATCACAATATAGACGATGTAATCAATGTTTGCTGTCATTGCTCAAATAATGGTAAATATCTGGTAACTGGAGATGAAGATGGAAACATTCGCCTATTCTCATATCCATGTTCAAATCCAATGGTAAGTAGCTAACTAACGCTATCTAAACTAATATTTTTTCTAATTATCAAATTTTCTTCTCAATAATTTATTATTTCATTTCTTTTTCACAGTCGGCTTTTTACGCGAGGAAACAAGGCTCAAAAGGAGTAGTTGAAGCGCGTTTTATCTCACAAGACTCAGCCATAGTAAGCGGTAATTTTGACGGAGCAATATTTGTTTGGAACCTGTACGACCCTTGATGACAAATTGCCCTTTCAACTGATCATCTTTAGACCCATCAAGTTTCGCCGATACACCGGTTGCAATTATAAACAACAAGAGGAGATAAATTTTAATCATATCCTTCATGGAATTGGTGATTTTTTCATTTAATCAACTTTAACTTTCCCATTGCATGATTTTATACTTACATTTCCGTAACTGTATCTCAATTTCATCAATCTATCAATCCATTTTGATGCATTATTTTCATACTAGTCTTCCCTTTCCCTGCATGTTAACCTAATCAGTTATAATTTTTAAAATTTTTGATCGACAATTGTCAAATTATTGTTTATTCAATTGAAAATTATACAATTTTCTAATCAGTAAATTGTCCAAAGCGTCCATTTCATTTAAAATTTGTCCAATATCTTTAAAAAGATAATCGAGGTTTCTTTCATAATTTAATATTTTGGCTTTCAGGTTGCGTCAAAGTTTTCCTCAAAATCCTTTTAAGTTTAGTTATGAGTTTATATCATCATTAACAGTTCGTAGCATTTGAATTTTTACAATCAATGATTAAATCAACCAAACATGCATCATTCATGCACATGTTAAACGCATGTTTAACATGCTTCGATTATCATTGGCGCATCATTGGCGCAACAAGATTGAACTAACTTTTATTTTCTATTTTTTCTATTTTAGTCTCTTATTTATCTGCCTTTCCTGGGTTTAAGGGTCGGGTTCTAAAAATTTGTATATTTTCCGGCGACATTCAGGCCAAAACCTTTCATTTGAGATTAACAGAAAATTTATAGAACCATTGAGTGCGAAGAAATTTGACAGAAAAATACCAAAACGGTATTAATTTATCAGAAGATGAGTTTAGTTCATTCAACTGTAAATTAAAATGTTGAATTAATTGCTAAAAGATATTAAAATAAGTTGAAGAAAAATTTTAGTTAATTTTAAAATCTAATTTGAAATAATTCTGCATTCATCAATGCTTCGAGTTGAAGTCCACCTTTTCTTGGTGTCAATGAAATGTGCAATAAAATAATGGTTATCAGTTAATTTTGGGAACAATGAAGCAGTTTTGTTATCCAGTTCAAGAACCAATTGTGGATTTAACGGGTTCCATCGCATGGACAACGACTTTAAACCACATGTTTCCGAACTAAAGTCAAATATGAGGAGATATTTCATAGTTTTGATAAATTTTTCCGTTTCGGCTATAAATTTAGGATAGTCGATTTCGTTGGCGTTGAATGTACAATTATTAGTGTTAGGTAATTGACATTTATGTGGTGGATTCGAAGCTAAATAAGAAGCCGTATTATATCTATATGTTGGGATTCCATCACAATAGTGTTCACAAATATCAGTTACTGCCAATTGAACAAGACGCTCAAAATCTTTCATGGGCACATAATGAGTATACAGTTCAACTGACAGAGGGTTGACTCTAATAGATTTAACGATGTTTGATGTAACATTATCCTTATCATACTCCATCAATGTTAACATGACGATGTCTGTCTTATCAAATGATGATTTCGATGAACCACAAGCGCTTTCCATTTCCATGCTCATATTCTTGGTATATTCAGTGTTTTCATGAACCAGATTTACTTCAGTTGGAAGTGTGCGAATCACGATATTCCCGATCCGAAACCTGTTTGTGATCAAGTGGGGAGCCCTAATAGGAAACGCGAAATCAGGTAATAATGCTGTTCCTAGAAGAGAAAATTTTCATTTAAATTTTTGTCTGTGTCATAAAATATTGTCTACGAGTTAATATCATGGTGATAATAAAACAATGGTACTTTTAGTCTTATTGCCTTCAGATCACTTCTGGTATGGTAGTTAAGATAAGGCTATTAATACAGGAAGCCATACAGGATACTGAAATTGAACCAGACAAGCTTGATAATGAATTTTTTGCAATAATATTATGGGCTGTAATTATTAATAGGATCCTGAGGATTTAAATCTCTTTTTTCTTTTCAAAAAGAAATGGCAATCCGAAAACTTAAAGTGTAAGAAGTTAAATGCAAGCAGATAAACTGGCCGGTGAAAACCATCCTGACCACGAAATCATTATTTGACGTCAAACCCAAGTCGAAAAAGCTTGGAAACGTTTGAAATACTTGAAGTAAGTCCTGCTGCTTTGGGTGACAAAATTAGATCACTCGATGAAATTGTCCAAAGATTGGTAAAAACTCATTCAGAAACTGCCGAGCAAACTTATCAAAAGCAATTTGAAATAAATCAAGAATGGGACCAATTAATTGCTAAGGCTACTGCTCGAAACTTGACGATTCCTATGAACTTCAACGATTCTTGGCTGACTATCCTGACCTCATGTCATGGATAGTTTCAATGAAAGCTCTAGTCTCTTCTGATGAACTTGCAAACGATGTTTACAATTCACAATTTACAATTCACAGGGACATCAAACTGTAATCGATCTATCGTTCGACGTCTAATGATAATTTCGTGTTCAGGATGGTTTTCACTAACCAGTTTATCTGCTTGTTTTGTAACTTCTTGCACTCGAAATTCCTGGCTTGCCATTTCTTTTTGAAATTCATCAAATTTCCTTTGGAGCACCTCAACATGTTCCAAGTCTTGTCCCATCTCATCAGAGGTAACAAATGCTTCTTTATCATTGATCCAGAACATAACTTCATCACATTGGCGATTGAATTGTTGAAGCACAAGAGCTTGTTGAAGTTTTAGTCCTTTTTCAGTTAACTTGGAAAGAAGTAGTTCCCATAGTCGGTGAAGTTCATCGAGACGATGAGTGATCACTTTAGCAGCAAAATGTCCCTGGTTAATCATTTCACCACCGGTAGCACTGAGAGATACAATAGCATTGGAATGAGCAGTCACTTCAGCCTCGAATGCTTGATGTTTTTGAATTTTAGCCTGTAAATTTGTTGGATCTTTGTACGATTCATCTGAAGCAGTTTGTAATTTTTCCAATATCCACGATTCAAGCTCATCTGCATCTCTTTTGAAATATTGAAATCTCTTTGAATCTTCTAATAAACTTCTCTTTTCTTTAGCTTCTTCCTTGAATCTTTGATATCTTCCAAGAACTTGGTCTCTTCTTTCCTGAATATCTTCAACAGTTTCCAATATTTTGATCTTTCTTTTAATGATTTCTTTGGATGTAACACTAGATGTAGAGCAATCCATGGTGTTTTCAAGATTATCCTAGGTTTTTAGCTGGATGATTTGATGATGAAAGGATGCAGACAAATGCAACACAATTTAACTTTTTACACTTTAAGTTTTCGGATTGCCATTTCTTTTTGAAATGAAAAAAGAGATTTAAATCCTGCAGATCATAATAACAGCCCATAATATTACTGAAATAAATTGATTATGAAGCTTGTCTGGTTCAATTTCGGCTCTAACTAGCTCTATTATTGCTGAAAAGTCATGAATAAATTTTTTCCCATAGAGTTGAGCGTGTTTGATTCAATTGATTCTAACTATGAGATTAGTTTAATGAAAATAGATAGACTTACTCATCCACGGAGTATTCAGTTTCCATTCTTTGTCAACATAACCAGGTTTTACCTCCTTTATTAGCATACATGAAGCAAGTTGAAACACCGAGAAAAAACAAATGAAACTTTTAAAATCCATTGAGTTTGATTGAATTGATCTTCAAGTTAACAGCAATACGTGTTGATATACACTATCAACTCGCCAGCGGTATTAGTTTTCTAAGTTTAAGTAACAAGAGTTGGTTACTTTCGCTTCTCTAATAGTCAGGTAACCAGAGTAATCAGTGTAATAAATATTTTTAAATGAAATGTCACACAGAAATAATCCAAAATCCAGGATAACTAGAATAAAATATTCTTAAGTTTTAATGACCTTTTCAAACTACTATTGAGAAAAGGATGAGCATCATTACTTTCTTCAAACATTGAAGTTTCCAATCGAGTAACCATAAAATAACCAAAAAAGTTAAAAGTAACTTGACCTCAACCACTTCTTGACCGAGACTTGCCCTTTCTTTGTTTTGAGCTGAACAACAAAGACCTTTGTTTACTGCATTTCATCTCAAACTATGTTCAATAAACACAAAGAGTAAGATAAATTAATCGTTTTTGTTTCAAACCCTTGTGTTCATTTCAATCAACAAAGTGCTCAATGGATTCAAAATCTCACTTGATTCGTGTTCTTTACGTTTTGTCTTTCATTCATTTGTCAAGTCAATGGTATCATTCCGAATTACCGAATTTCGCTGCATCTCATGTTAATTATTATATGAACATCAAAACCAGTAATGACTTGAAACGGACTAACTTTAAAGACGATAATGTTCAATGGAAAAATGAGAGCTTCTTTGAAAGTATTTATCATCGGACCTGCAGAGTACAACTCGAAGAGTATGACAATTGTTATCTTTATTTATTTAAGAATGAAACTAATTCTATTCATGGACCGGTAAAGATCAATTACAAGCAAATTGAATTGGATATGAAATTCAATTTGAGCCAAAGTACTAAGGATAAGTATTGGTTCGAGAATCCAAAGGAATTTCAGCTTTACTTCTTGGCTGAAGCTCGTTGTATTTTAACGCTATTGGCATATAAAAGGATTGATAGAATCCAATCCAGCATGATTCCTCATCTGAATACATATCTTGAGTTGGATTCGATAACTGCCTCACTTTTTCCGAAGATCGAGAGAGACGATTATTTCATAATAAACATCTTTAATTTCGATAAATTTGATTACTTTTGTAAAAAAAACTGGTTTTAACCAGGTTGGTTTGGTGCTACCTTTCCCTACCTCAAGTAGGTAGGGAAAGGCCACAATTGGTTGGTTTTTTTTGGGTCGGCCATCTTATGAGGGAGAAGATTTTCTCCCTCATCCAGCATAAAATGGCCGACAAATCCTTTGTTTGCCTGCCGATTTCGGACCCTGCGGAAGCCCTGGCCAAATTACTGTACAACTGAATAAAATAGTGTTTATGAAATGTTCAACTTTAACTTACGTGCAACCACAAAATATATCATCCAGAATATGTCTTATAATCTATGTATAACTTATTAAGTATCTGAT